GTTGCGAGGGGAAATAGATTCAACCACTTTGTCATCATGTGAAATATGTTTACCGTTGCCGGCAGGAAAGCCGGCGGAATTACAAAAAAATTCTTCTCATTGCTATTGGATATAACATCTGATAAGGGCATACTGTACATATTGGGAGCCGGACCAAGAAGGCTATCAGGTCTATGGTTGTGACCAAGTGGCCAATTACAATTCAGATAACTATTTATACCTGACGTATGGGTAACGTGTTTAAGACGTTTATTTCCAAGGTTTGTGGTTGATTTCGGCTTCTTCATAAGTTGGAGAGGATTGTGTACTGTTAAACATACTTGCGATGGTTTGCGAGGTTCGAATATATCATATATATAACATCGACCTGCAACACGGTCCTGTGACGGACATGTTGCAACGAATGAGATAGGTTACCGACCAAAGAACCTTCGATGATAGTCTATGTAAACAACTTTTCTTATCCATACTTCCTCAACAGGTGCAAGTTGTGCTTGTCTCGTTTCACAGCAACGCCTTAGACGAGCTGGCTGCATCTGCCGACCGCATTTTAGAAATCACCAAATCTTCTAACACCGAGGTATTTTCAGTCAAAGAAAAGCCTCAAACGACTCAGAATGAAATAACCGAGTCATTTCATACACTTACACGTTATCTTAATTTTCGTAACGACCGTAAGCGATCACACACCCATGTAGAAGTACTTCACGTAAGCGATCTGCCTCTAGACCACGAGAGACGGATAATCCCGACTGGTGCTGGTATCATACCCAGTATGGAAAGTCTTCCAGAAATTGCAGAAAACCCTGCAATTTTCCCAACTCGAAACAGACCGACACGAAAAACAATTAGGGAAACTTCCAAGCCGGCACGCGTTAACGGTAACCGTAGCCGGCGAACACAGCCGTCTGTTATACGTCACAGATGTGACAACGAGAGTTTTCTACCTCGTCGACACTGGCACAGAAGTCGGCGTTCTCTCTGCGAATTCTAACGAACAGCTTCATGAATGGGCGGCAAACGGAAAGCCTACCACCACATACAGTAAAAGGTACGTTTACCTTAACGTGGGTTTACGCAAGCCCATACACTGGATCTTCGCTAATGCAGATGTTTCTATGCCAATCATTGGTATGGACCTTCTACAACACCATAATCTGATCATCGATACGCGCAAACGGAGGCCAGTAGACGGGAACACAAATTATCTGTTTGTGTAACTTCTTTTTCTGGTTGCAGATTATCTCTAGTCACAATTAAGCACACGACAGACCCATTTTTATCAACGATTACTCGATACGCATTTTGGGGAATACGAAACGCAACCGAAATTGCTGTGTGTAACCAGCGATTTTACACATCACATCACGACTACAGGACCACCTGTATTCTCGAAAGCACGCCGACTAGCTCCTGAAAAGCTAAGGTTGGACAATAAGGAATGTGACCACATGATAGACTTGGGAATCATACGACCGTCAAATAGCCCATATGCATCTCCGTTGCACATGGTCCCTAAAAAGGACAGCAACGATTGGGGTCCAAGTGGTGACTATCGGCGATTGAATGCGAAAACCATTCCCGATCGTTATCCGTTGCCTCACATTCACGATTCGACAGCTACCTTGAAAGGTACAACTGTCTTTTCGAAAATCGACTTGGTTAAAGCGTATAATCAAATCCCTAAGGCTACTGACGACATACCGAAAACAGCTATCATAACTCCTTTCGGACTCTACGAATTTTCGCGAATGGCCTTTCGGTCTAAGAAACGCTGCAAAAACTTTCCAAAGGTTTATAGACGACGTTTATCGAGGTCTCAACTTCGTACATGCGTGTGTTGACGACTGTCTAATGGCAAGTCCGGACAAAGAATCGCATCCCAAGCATATGGATCTTGTTTTCGACCGACTACAAAAACATGGCATTACTGTAAACATCCAGAAATGCAGAATGGGAACCGACTCATCAGACTTCCTAGGACACACTATAGATGCTCAAGGAATTCGACCCCTTAGAATCAAAGTGGCGGTCATTCTGGATTACCCAGAACCGACCACCATCAAGCAATTACTCACGCTTAACGGCCTGGTAAGTTTCTATAGACGTTTCATACCGAAATGCGCGTCACTTATGAAACCTCTTGCCGACCAACTTCGTGGAAATGCGAAATCCATCAATCTGGACGACACCGCACGAAAAGCATTGTCCATAGATAAAAATTTTATCGCTCAAGCAACAATGCTTGCTCATCAGGACACTGAAGCACTCATTAGTATCGCAGTAGACGCATCAGACTCAGCAATCGGAGAAGTCTTACAACAATGAGTTGACCACTCCTGGCAACCTTTGGCATTTTTCTCTAGACGGTTGCTAGACACCGAATCGAGGTACAGCACATTCGGTAGGGAACTCCTAGCTATGTATTGTGCTGTAAGGCATTTTCAACACTACATCGAAGGCCGTGAATTCACCCTTTTTACTGACCGTAAACCTCTCACCTTCTCTCTAAGCTCTCCTTCAGACAAGTAATCTCCCCGTGAGTCTCGACAACTGAACTAAATTTCTCAGTTTACTTCAGACATTCGACACATCTCTGGAGCAGACAATGTAGTCGCAAACGCTTTGTCGCGCATAACTTCCTTGAAAAGTTTCCAAGGAATAGACCTTAAACCCGCAGAGCTTCAAGAAGAAGACACTGATCTTCAGCACGGGTTATCGTCTACAACACTCAAGCTACGCATCAAACAGGTGGGAACAGGTAAGGAAACCTTACTTTGTGACACTTCTACAGGTAGGGATCGCCCAATCGTGCCGAAACATTATCGACCCAACGTCTTCAATACATTGCACTAACTTTCTCATCCAGGTGTTCGTGCAACCACCAAGCTTATAGCAGAACGGTTTTTCTGGCCTGGCATGAATAAAGACGTGAGGGAGTGGGCACGCTCCTGTGTAAGCCGCCAAAAATCTAAGGTTATCAGACACAATAAATGTCCCTTAGGCTCATTTAAAACTGCCCTTCATCTATCACTACAGACCGTGGACGTCAGTTTGAATCCGAACTTTTCCTTTGTCTGACCACACTTTTAGGAATCACTCGTTTACGAACGACCGCCTACCACCCACAAGCAAACGGGTTGGTAGAACGTTTTCACCGAGAATTAAAAGCTTCACTATCAGCTGCAAACGTTTCACAGTGGGCCGACGCTCTACCACTCGTCTTACTAGGTATTCGCAATGCAGTGAAAGCTGACATTGGATACACTGCGGCTCAACTCGTTTATGGAACGACACTTTGAATTCCGGGAGAATTCGTGGATCCTTCATCCTATTCACTGAGCAAGAATCTAATCTCCTACACGAACAGGCTTACAAACACAATGCGTTCAGTTAAACCGCAATCAACTGATGTTTTCGTTCAACCTGACTTACGATATAGTGCACACGTCTCCGTTCGTCGAAACTCATGTCGACGACCTTTCGAATCAGCATACGAAGGACCTTTCAACGATCTTCAGCGCAAACCTATATAATCGATAAGGACGGAACCAACGATAGCATCAGCATCGATTGCCTCAAAGCAGCGTATTTAGAAGGTAATCCTATCTACGTCGATCTTCCTTCGGTACAATCGAACGACGCGACTCCGACACATAATACCTCATCCGACAACCAGCACGCACGATGATACTTCAACAGCAGCTGAAACTAAACTTAAAAGAACGCGTTCTGGAAGAAGAGTAAGATTCCCAGAACATTTAAACGACTATTGCACGTAAAACACCAGTTAACATTTGTTTCGTCTCGATTTTTCCATGTCATTATATATAATATCAAAAAATCAATTTTTGTATGCTTATATTTATATGTATTTATTATTTTGTCAATATGTTTACTAAAAAATATTTTTAAAGAAAACACGTGGCTGGCCACGTCTTAGGGTTGTCACTTCCCCACTAGGAGGGAGTGATCTGAAGCGGTAAATAAATTTCCAAAATAAATAGCTCTGTAAGTTTTCGACATTGGATGCTGACCACATTAGTTTTAGTGGACTCACCTAGCTGAAGGCGCTCGGTCATGCATCCGCACCAGATCACGAGTGGGAACGCCGTGCTCAACAACCCCTGCAATCGCTAGCCAGATTAGATCAGACGATCCTCGATATGTTGATAGTCTATCAAATATATCTTCGAACCTCCTCGCTTCTGTCATTTGATTTCACTTGGTGGGTGAGATTCATATTAGAATGTGTTGCTGGTTAAAGCGTTGTCAAACTCCGGATACTTGTAGCATCTTCAAGATAAACTAGCACCTCAGGATGATCTGACTTGACTCCAAAGTTAGGTAGATGACAACGGTCTTACATCTAACACTTCAAGGTGTATAGTGGTCCATCTGAGACATGTTGCAGACTACAGTTACAAATTAGAAAGCTCCTCTCTAGAAGTATCCCAAGTTGAGAAAGATTTGAGAGTGTTGGTACCCTATGGTCTGAAGTCTTACACTAACTATGACAAAAATGCCTCCCGAGCAAACCCTGTACTGGTAACGTTGAAGAGCATTTTTGGCCAGTTTGACGGAAGAACTTTCCAGATAATCTCCAACAGTTTCATTAGTCCCCATTTGGAGTACGGAACCACAGTATTTCCTCCCTCACTCCACAAGGATAAAGACACTCTGGAGCGTATCCCACGGCGAGTTAAAAATTATTTCGGGGACTCAAATTCAAGCCTTATGAAGAGCGCCTCTAATCACTCAACATTTACTCATTACAGTACAGGCGTATTAGAGGTGATCTAATGGCTTACAGCATCCTAAATAGTTCTGGGCATCCCCTTAAACACCTACTTAAGTTTATCTTCAACACAAATCTAAGGAGTAACACACAGAAACTAGAGACACAACACAACAGAACGGAGTGTAGACACACCATCTACTCCTTCATAGTAGTCAGATGTTGGAGTTCACTTCCGGCTTCACCCTCTGGATGAATATAGCTAAGATCTTGTCTCTCCTTGGCCTTAAGTTCTCTTCAACTACACAGAAGTTGGTCTCAACAAACGAATTAATCACTAGTTTTGATGACCGATTTTAGGATTGAAACATAAAAATTCCTTCCTAAGGTTGACCTTTGTAGGGCGGGCTTGTGGAATTTCGGCTTCATCATGAGTTGCCTTGTCCTTGATAGGAAATCTGGTGGTTTCTCGTTCGAAAATTGTTACAGGTTTGTAAACACTCATCTCATATTCATGCTTAAACCAGGAATAAAGTCATCGAACAAAAAGGCTTTAAACTGCCTAAAGCAGTAAAGACTGGAACAACAATATGCGGAGTCGTTTTCAAGGTACTTATTAATAAATTTGATGAGCACTCCCTTAGAATGGTATAGTTCTAGGCGCAGATACACGGGCAACAGAAGGAAGCGTAGTTGCTGAGAAAAATTGCTCAAAAATTCATCGCATTGCAGAAAACATATAGTATGTAGTCCTACTTCAAATAACGATTTAGTTGCTGTGGAGCTGGAACTGCAGCCGACACTCAAATGGTCACACTGATGATTTCTTCGCAAGTCGAGCTCCACCGTTTGAATACGGGCAGGACTCCTCGTGTTATCTCCCCACTTCGTCTCCTTAAACGCTATCTTTATCAGTATCAGGTAGTCACTTGCCTGTATTATTTTTAATCTATAGGGTTATGTTGGTGCTGCACTCGTACTAGGTGGTGTGGACTCAACAGGCCCTCATTTGTATAGTATTGCACCGCATGGATCAACGGATAAATTACCATATATCACAATGGGTAGTGGGAGTCTTGCGTGTATGTCTGTACTTGAATCAAGATTTAAATTTGACATGGAAGTAAGTTCATTTTTCCGTCTGGAATTTGGATATGTCCTAGCCTCAATACCTCTTTATTACTCTATTTCCGTCATGAAAGAGCGTTACTACAGATGTTGGTTGTCTGATACAAACCTCACTATCGCCAGTCGTCCTCAACTGAACAACAGACCTTGTGAAGGCGATAGCTGCGTCTAAGAATCTGCGACCTAGTTGAAAGCTAAGTACTTTAATCACCAAGCGACTCTTTCGTAGATGGATTCTCATGTACCTGTCAATGGAATTGCAGGAAGTTCACATTTCAAACTGTTTTATGCACAAACAGTCGAGTTTTTCTAATCTTACTAACATTCTATAACGTGAGATTCTAAAAAATAATAATTAAGCCTTATTTGAGAACTTAGTGGTTATGCACATGTTAGTTGTTATTAACGTCATGAGGGACATGTTCTTAAATTTCATTGAAATCATGAACCGATCAATGTTAGACCATCACTGAAAACCCGGAAACACTAAATGGCCGTTCTGTTGTACTATGGAACTCTTCAGTAGTACGCATCCGCGATCCCTTACGCGGGGCATGAACCCGAGACCACTTTCACACAGACGCTTTATCTCCAGACCACTAGGCCATTAATACGGTTGGATGTAGGCTCAGTGGTCTAGAGACAAAGCGTCTGCGTGAAACCGGTCTCGGGTTCATGCCCCGCGTAAGGGATCGCGGATGCGTACCACTGAAGAGTCCCATAGTACAACAGAACGGCCATCTAGTGTTTCCGGGTTTTCAGTGTTGGTCTAACGTTGATTGGTTCATGATTTCAACGAAATTCAACAATCTCCACAACCTAAAACTGAGAGTTTTTGAATTGTCTTGTGGTCCACGTTTTCGGGCTATTGTTGTCGAAACAGTCATACTGTATATTCAGATTTAATTCGCTCTATGCTTGTAGGACAGATTTCCTCCTATTCTTCAATGACTCGGTGAATAATAAACGGCCGATACCGTACATGGATTATCATGAATTTATAGCTTGGAAACAATCAAACCATAAGCACCAAAAAACGGAACAAAAGGTAAATAATAACAATGGGTAAGAAACAGTAGAGCATATAGCCACAATTAAGTAGTTCAACGTGAGACTGCAATACAGGGGATGTAAAAATATGATCTAATTGTTTAACAATTAGACAATGAAAATATAAACAATAATGTGTAAAGTAATCTCAACTTCAATACTCTCCGCTACTATTCTACCATACACACCTTCCTTGAGATTCGTTGGCGATCGGGTTCATTTTTCAACACATTAAAGATCTAGTCTGAGTTCCTAATGACTACCTGTAATAATAATGTTTAAATGCAAACGTAACCTCTGGTTTATTGTGAAATGATCTATATGATTATTATATATCGGATTGTTATGGGAGTAAATCATTTGAGTACATTAGCCACTTTACTCATCTTGGAAGTCATATCAACCCTGGTGGGATAGTGATTGACCAGATTTCGACACGTTCGGAAAACTTTCTTGGTTTCTACCTACTCTCATCATTCATGATGTTGCCATGATTTCTGTCTGCCAACAAATGGGTGTGTATACTGTCCAGCAGTTCGCTTGGTATTATTTTATTTATTTGAACATATAAATATTGGTACAAGAGGGCACCAAATACATATGCGTCACACAAAACAATGAGAGAAGAAGAAAAAAAGTGAGGAGCGTAAAAAAACAATAACGTACAGATTAGTGTAAGGTAGTGTAGTAATAATAATAATGGGGGAAACGAAAAGGTACAATCAGAAGAAATCTTTCAGTCAAGGAAGAAGCAACCACTTTTTACGAAGAAAGTAAAAGGTTACGGCAGGATCGCCACTGGCTTCTATTCTGAGCCATATCTGATAACGTCTCTAGCCACTGTGTTGTACCATCTCTAGGACCCCAACCAGGGAGTCGTGAAGGACCAACACAGGCTAGCCCTCTGCAGCTTTCATTCATATCACGACACCATGTCATACACTGACCACCTCTCTGCTTCTTCCAACCAGTCTCAGAGTCGGCAAATAATGCACGACGTGGAATTCTCTGGGACGACATTCGTAGAACATGACCAAGCCACCGAAGTCGGTGTTTCAAGATGGTGACACCAATTGCATTATCATCTCTGCACCCGAACACACGATGCCGAACCTCTGCACCGCCAACATGGTGTTGCCACTGGATGACAGCAATCCTTCGGAGACATCGATGATCGAACACAGAGAGTCGTCTAACATCCTCAACTCGGAGAGGCCAGGTTTCACAAGCATAGAGCGAAACTGCTCTCACTGACGCGCTGTAGATCCGACCTTTTACAGTCAGTCAGTCAGTAACAACGTAGAACTTCGTACGTACGTACATCAGTTCGAGTTGCCACACCACATTAGCATAGAGATGCAGTGGTCGATTCAAATCCCGTAGTAGTAGAGGTAATAAGAGTATAAGCAGTAATCGGGAAGATTAGTGTTTGGAGATGTTACTTAAAGAGTATAATACAGTGAAATAAATTTGAGAGGAGAAAAAAAAGAGACAAGGAGGAATAAAGAGATCAAAGTTTGGGAGAACACAAAGAGTGTATGCACCTGCGTCATTGCAAACGATTTTGAGCCATGTCACTCAGGGTCTCTAACCACCGGTTGCGATCATCTCGCGGTCCCCAACCAGGTAGTCTACACCTACCGACATGACTCAGTCCACTTGTCAGTGACTTCATGGACTTGTGCCATGTTTTGGTCTGGCCGCCCCTAGCTTTCTTCCAACCTACTCCTATACCACTTAACATCGCACGTCGAGGTAGTCGGTTGTTGGGCATACGTAACACGTGTCCCAGCCATCTCAACTGATGAAGTTTCACTACGTCATCAATTGATTTGCCATCCTTACCTAGTACCCGTTTCCTAACAACTGCATTACTTACTCGATGGTCCCATGATATACGAGCAATATTTCGAAGACACCTATGATCAAATACTAGTAACCTACGAATATCCTCTACTCTTACCGGCCATGTTTCACTGCCATAAAGTAGGACGGAACGAACTGCTGCGCAGTAAACCCGTCCTTTGATAGATAGACGGATATCTCGCCTACGCCATAAATGACGCAAGTTGCTAAAAGCTAGTCGAGCCTTCTGTATCCATGCTGAGATTTCGTCACACACAAGGGCTGATCAGACTTCCAAGATAAGTGAAGCGATCGACCTTTTACAGCCAGACCAACATCACGAAGGCGCCAAAGATGGCCCAGATTGGCATAAGCCGCTCTGGCTTTCACTATTCGTGCATTGATCTCATCACTCACACCCCCACCAGCACTTATGCAACTACCTAGATACACGAACTTCTCGACTACTTCTATCTGCTCACCATCCAGGGTGAGTACAGGATTAGAATCCTGCCAGTCTTGTAGAAGTACTTTGCACTTCGAAGGTGCAAAGCACATACCATACCTACGGACACTGATTGCCAACTGATTAAGTGCGGATTGCATGGCTTGGGAATTATCGCACAGTAAGACAATATCATCCGCATACTCAAGGTCGAGAAGTCTTTCTCCAGGCAACAGATCCACACCGCCATTACTTACATCCGTCAGAGCTGTTTCCAGAATGTCATCGATGGCAAAGTTGAAGAGGAATGGTGAGATCGGGCAACTCTGCCTAACCCCACTGCTCGAATGGAACAATGGAGAGAGGTGGTTGTATGCCCTCACTCTGCCTGAGGTGTTTGTATATAGGGCTTTTAGGATGTTAATAAACTTCTCAGGCACTGCCTTCTTCAATAGACAATCCCAGAGAACAGTCCTATCCAACGAATCGAATGCAGCCCTGATGTCAAGAAACACTCGTCAGTCAGTCAGCTACAACGTAGGACCAGGCACATATGTGCATCGGTCCAGGTTGCCATACCGCATCAGCACAACAAGATGAACACCGGATTCATAGCAGTGGTTAGGTCAATGGTGGTAATATATAAGAGAAAGATTGCATATAGAGATATAATACAGGAAGAAAGAATTGGTTCGTAGAAAGAAAGATATGAAGCGATTTCAATCTCTTAGTTTAAGGGAAGACAGGGAGTGTATACACCGACGCCATTGTGATCGATTCTGAGCCATGTCACCAAGAGTCTCCAACCATTGGTTACGATAGTCACGCGGACCCCAACCAAGTAGTCTGCATCTACCAACATGGCTCAGACTAGAAGTTAGTGACTTCAAGCACTGATGCCACGTTTTGGTTTGGCCGCCCCTAACTTTCTTCCAACCATCTCCAATACCGGATAGCATTGCACGTTGTGGTAATCGGTGTTCAGGCATACGTAACACGTGGCCCAACCATCTCAGTCGATGAAGATTCATAACCTCATCAACTGATTTACCATCATTCCCTAATACCCTGCGTCTAACCTCACTATTACTTACCCGGTGATCCCAGCAGACTCCAGCAATATTTCTAAGGCATCTGTGGTCAAATACTAGTAGCTTACGAGTATCACCTACTCTTAATGGCCATGTTTCGCTGCCGTAAATTAAAACAGAATGAACTGCCGCGCAGTATACTCGTCCTTTTATTGATAGACGGATATCTCGCCTTCGCCACAGGTGACGTAAGTTGGCAAAAGCCAAACGAGCTTTTCGAATCCGTGCTGAGATTTCGTCCGATACCAACCCATTAGGGCTGATCAGACTTCCAAGATATGTGAAGTTGTCATTGCGTTCGACTACTTCACTTCAAGAAACACTACGATTGTTGGCCTTTGATAAGTATGGCGGTGTTCTAACATTTGGCGTAGGGTGAAGATATGATCAATACATCCTCGACTGGAACGAAAACCAGCCTGCTCCTCGCGAGTCAATCTTTCTCGGGTTTTGATCAACCTAAGAAGTATGACGGAAGCCAATAGCGTGGACGCAGTCGGAAGTAGACTTATCCCTCGATAGTTGTTACAGGAACGAGGTGAACCGTTTTTAAAAATACGGACAACTATCGACTCATTCCATGACGTTGGTACACTCTCTAGTTCCCAGACCTTTGTAAACAACGTCGTCAGTTCCTTAGTCAGAAAGTCACCACCATCTTTAAAAAGAACCGGAGGTAAGTCATCTGGGCCAGGTGATTTGTAGCGCTTCAAGAGTTGGAGTTCCTTGCGAACTTCCGCCTCATTTGGTGAATCAGTCGTCACCGGCCATGGAGGGCAGGACAGTCTGACCGATGTTGCCGGAGCAGCAGGCCAGTTGAACTGCCCTTCGAAAAATTCTGCCCATCGTCCAAGACGTCAATGGATGTTAGTGATTGGCGTTCCGTCATCCTCACAGATTGTTTCGCTCACACCAGACTTCTTTCTGCCAGTGGTTCGGATGGATTGGAAGAGCTTCCGGTAGTTACCAGATGCAGCTGCTGCTTCCAACTCATTGGCACGCTCCGACCGCCAGGCTTCTCGGTCCTTACGCAAGCTTTTCTCAATTTCATTACGTAACATCCTTCGTTTGTGGTCAAACTCACGGTCACCCGGAGTAGACCGACGGGCTTCAATGAGTTGTAAGGGACCTGCAGAAACCCAGTGCTTATAAGCGGGACATTTCGCGAACCCACAAGTGTCTTTACTCGCCATTTTTATGGCATCATGCAATTGCAATTAATGCTCATCTATACTTTTCGGTGGAAAGATAGCTAGCCTAGAAGTTAGCTCGATTCGATACTTAATAGCAACAGACATAGCCAGCCCTATCTGTTGTCTGATCTGCATAAGTGTGCGAACGTTGAAGGCAGCCAGTTTGAATGGTGCACGTGGTTTCAGAAAAACTGTTTCAGTACTCATATTCAGTGGTAGCATACAATTTTCAATCAGGCGGTGACTCGAGAACGTTAGATAGAGCCGAATTTCCACCATAGGCGAGCTGCTGTTTAAGTCGGAAAATAAGGATACACAGTGGGAATAAAAGAGTGAATAAATGACGTAGTAAATAATAATAATAATGTGGATCATTTGATTGTTAATCGCAGCAAGAAGAGTATTTTCCATAAATATAGACAGTTCACCATAGTTGTGTGTGGGCTGTGACACTGCCCGGGTGCCCAACCCGAAGCAGGTAGTTTTCTTAGGGGGCCACACCCCGAGCCTTCGACCTAAAGGTCTGACCCACAAGGCAGTGGAGCATCGTGAGGAGATGCAGTTCCATGGTAGCCGGTGACCAACGATTGGTTCATACGCCATTTGTTCTAGCAGGATACTGGAGCCCATGTGCACCATTGGTTTGAAATCCGGTTAAAGCGCCGGACATTCGCATTTCGTCCTCTCATTTTCGTAAACAACAGTAATGCCACGAGAAGGCAATGAGTAGGACTTCCCTGGCAGAGGATGTATACGCGTAACTGTGTGAGAGCATTTCGAGAGGGAGGGCGAGTCCACCCCACTCTCGGCCATACCAGGGCATTTGGCGGCTCGCTTGGTACTACTGTGAAACGAAAAGATATGGGTAGGCTGTAGGTTTTTCATCACAAATGTCCTCAAAGCAACGCTGAAGTTAGACATAGAGTACTAAGCAAAGATAGTAAATCGTCTCATAAGATTATGAGTCTGTTAGGTTTGAAGCTTCACGAGTTCACTTAATCTGCGAACGAGAACAAGACTCAGTGACCAAAGACCAGTAATCTAGCTATTGATGCGTTCCAGCTCCGCTACCTAGAAGGAGAAGTTCAAGCTTGGTATGGAAAATATATTCTGCAAACAGTCAGAAAACGGGCGAGCCCACAAACACAATTTAAAACGTATATATACAAATATATAATCGATATTGTCATGGGAAATTTTTAAACACTAATCAATGAGTTCATCAATTGACTGCTATTTAATCATTTAATCGATAAGTTAATCGATATATGAGTTTTGAGGATATATCGTCCCCAACAGAGTCTTCATCAATTAAAGTGATTGAAACATATATTATGTATCCCCAACCACTATCCACTTCATCGCACAGTACTAGCTGGTATAGCGTTAATTTAGAAAAAGCCCATAAAGTTACTGACTATTGGACTGAGTCGTGTTGGTAGATGAAGACTATCTGATTGTGGTCTGGGAGATTATCTTAAACGATTGAAACATGAGGTCACACTTTTTATTCCTCAAATTCGTTCTTCCTCGAATCATGTAATCTCTGACTAATGTTTCTTACTACTATTGATACTATCCCTACTATGGAATTTGTCTTGATTTCATCTCTGCTTATATGGTGCGGGGATTAAAGCCATTCCACATATTTCCCAGGTTCTATGTTCCTTATGGCTATTTGACTAATTAGTGCACTGATTACTAAACTAAGCACACTAACTTTATAAATAACTCTTCCTTACAGTGTTTTATCACTGTCAAATATTCATCCTCTATCCAGAAATTGTCAGTGTTTTCGTTATTTTATGTTTCAAGAATAATTCAAATAATTAAGTGTAATACGACTGAACATATTTCCAATTTTCAGCAAGATGAAGCCGTAAAATTAGTACGTGATGGAATAGCAGCTGGAATATTTAATGATATGGGGTCTGGTAGTAATGTTGATATATGTATTATTACTAAAGATGGGACAACCTATATACGATCATATGATGAAGCTAATGTCAAAGGCAAGAGGTATGTATAATTTTCGTCTTTATTTGCTGCCATTTAAAAAAATGTTTCACTGTTTAAAAGTTTATTCATCTCATGGAGCTTTTTGAATGGGTTCTCTCCACTTCACTCAAATTTGGTGTTAATAATTAAGCATCTCAACACCAACTGTAGACGAAAATATATCAAATATGTACGGCAGTTATAGATATTTGTATGGTAAAACTTTACCAGATCATTTTTGTTTCAATATATGACTCAGTATTATAAGTGTTGTCGATTATCATCTGTTAGGTTTTTATTATTTATTTAAACACATGAACACTATTAAAAACGGGCACTAAAATATTTATGCACCACACAACATTTGTATGGGAGTTGGGATACTGCCTGGTCGCCCAAACCGAAAAAAGTGATTTTTTAGGGGGCCACTTCCCGAGCTTTTGACCTGAAGATCTAATTCACAAGTCGGTGGGCCAAGCTTAAGATATACAGTCCTATGGTAGCCGGTGACCAAGAATAGGTTCATATGCCATTTGTTTCCTCAGCATTCTGAAATCTATATGCACGACTGGTTTGTGATTGAGGTCCTCTAACTCCCCTAGGTGAATCTTTCGTACCCACTGACTCGGTTTAAGCGCCGGACATTCACTTTGTGTCCTTTTAATTTCGTAAACAACATCCCTTCCTCGAGGAGGCAATGAGCAAGACTTCCTTGACAGTGGCCATATGAGGATATTTCGAGAAGATGAGTGGACTCCTCTCACCCTTGGCCGCACCAGGCATTCGGGAGCATTGGACCATTCATATTCATCTGGTCAAGCTCAGGGGTTACAAAGTCACGTTTTGTACCCATTACAAATTAAGTGATAATTCCAAGCTTGTGGCACACAAACCCCGTTGGTGGTAGTTGCTTTTTTGTATTTTTTTAAATACCATCTAATGACTCCTTAGTTTTTCGTATATAAACTTTATTCAAACATAAACGAATTGTGCATTTTCATTTTCAACCTTTATATCTTGCTATACTCAAAACTAGTTTCTTTACTTATTAATTTTTCAGAGCAGAAAAGTATAATCCTTCGGAAGGTACCACTTCTGTTCTCCACAAAAGTGTTCATCATGTTGAGTTCGATGTGGTTACAACACGTGTTGTTCGAGATATACCTGCTCATAGTGTTGAGACAATGGATCTTTCTTAAATGTATTTTAAATTTCCTCAAATGAATTGTGATTCCTACGTTGTTTGCTTTATCGGTTGTTCGAATAAATTCACCGTAAAGACTTTCCTTTTCGTTGTCAAAATGTTTTAACACAGTACAATATCCTTATTCTGTTTATTTTGAATTACTAATATGCAGTCAACACCATTCAAATTCATTTTATAGTAAAGTCATGGGATAAAAGTACAAATATGTAACAATGGTCTAGTATTTATTAAGTAAACGTCAATAATTCCACTAGTTCTAGTACTCCCTATAGATTAGTTATCATTAATTTTACAGCTGATAGCGGTTTAGTTATCTGGCCAGTTTACTGACTCGCCTTTCATTGATTCAGAATATCAGTAATTCAGGACATGATAACGGTTGTTTATTATTATTAGTAGTATTAGTATTATTGTCAACTAGTTTTGATACGTTATTGTTCGTTTTCCACCATCAGATACTCATTAACATGGGACTCGACACTTATTGGGTTATCTAAGCCATGGAATGTTGATTTCTCCAACTTTAAGCAGCTTCATTTAAAGTTCTTTACGCCTGTATGTTGAGGTTAATTATTTTGTTGCACGCACTCAGCATATATATATATATATATATATATATATATATATATATATATATATATATATATATATATATATATCCTAACTTGTCTCTCCACTTATCTGAGGTTACTTTTGTTGCTGACTTTACGTGCTTGTACATTAGTGTAAGAAAACTTGAAATTAACATACCAATGTATCAAAAAGTCAGAACAATCCAATAATTATTTGGAAGAATACATTTAATCGCAAGGAATGTGGGTTATCCCCTACACACGTATCGGCTCAAGTTACTCGCATGACATTTATTTCTATAAAGCTTAAATTAGTTAAGGGAATAAAAATGATTTTAACAGTGTTAGTTAAAACTAGGAAATAACGTAAAGTCCTTGAAATAATAGAAATATTCATGGTTTTAATGTAGAAACAACGAGTGCATGTGACAGTGACCAGTCTGAATGACTGTCAGATAGATTAAAATTATTACGTAGACAATACATAGTAAATTAAAATCCTCCGACGCAGCTTAGACCAATGATCATTGACTCCATACATAAATCTAACTTTTTCCATACATACTTGAGTTGATCAGCATGACGCATTACTACTACCAATAGCTAGGCTACACATAGCAAGTTTCAAACATCTAAATTAGTGGAGGTATACAATTGCATTAACCGATTTTTTTCTACCTGAAATACGTTCAGCCAGTTTTAAATAACTAAGAATAATGAAATTAGTGACGTTTTACTTTGTTATTAAAGTCTGAAAGAAGGCAGACATTTGATTTAATGATAGTTTTATAAATCAATTCATATTAAAACCAATAAAGCAGGTTGAGAATATAGGTGTTCATATCACCAAAATCTCATCGATAAGCAAGTACTTCTAGCTTTCAGCATACTAAAACACAAATTCACCTGAGATGTCAACAAAAAAAACCCCACTTATAAGGGAAATCACCCTAATCTATGTCATAAATGTGCTGATAAGACTGTTCAATGGTTTATGTAATAAGATGTTAAGAATTGGTGGTTTAGCCTCTCAACTCCAAAACTATGGGTTGCACTACGAAACCTTCATCTACCTCTATTGTGGCAGGATAACAGTATTTTAAGCGTTCACACAATTCGTATGATTCGGAGTTCATTGCACACACTGGTGTTTCATTAGTCATATTTGTGGAAGGTACTAGTTAATAACTGACAGTCGTTTTCGATTATTTCATCTGGTTTAATGAAGGACGTGGATTCGTCTTCATCGATTGGAGTTCATTGCACAAACGGTGATCAATTATTTATTTTTAAGTTTTTTCACACAAATCAAGTGACTTGTGTGGCGTATATGTATTTAGTGCCCCTTTGTACCAATATTTATGTGTTCAAATAAATTATCTCTACCAGTAGATGGAAGGAGACGGTAGAGGTTTATAGATCAATCATAAGGATCTAGATCATACTAGAAAACATAGTTTGTATGTAAATTTAATAAAAAAATAAAAGAATTATCCTTAGTTAGTGAGATCTGGCTGTATCATTGTCTGTACTTTTTTACGTAATTCTCACTTGACTGATTGTTACTTCATAGAATTAGGAATAATATTTCTATTCATTTGTGATTTTCATCCACCAAATTATTAAAACTTCTGTAAACTCTTCAAATAGCTCATAATTCATTACACAAACTAATTTGTCAGTCTTGGAGTTCCAAATAATTACTGTCCCACTCCCGTTATGTTTTCTATATTTATCTTACGCCTGCATATATGGTACTGATAATTATTGTTATTTCAGCTTTCTTCATCCACGAATATCTGTAGTTTAATATTATGTTATATTTCGATACGAAAACAGTTGTAAGCACGAAAGAAATGTTCATTTTATTCTGCATCAAGTGATGAGAAATTCCAAAGACTCACTTCTGTTTGGGACTTGTGATGTCGAGAAATGTAATGAGAGCTTCATGATTAAACTATCCCGCCCAGAGATTTGATTTCACTGGAATCGAAATATTGTTAGACCTCATTGCCTAAGGGTAATTTTCCTCTATTTACTTTCCATACAAACTATATTTTCTATTGGAACAAGATCCTTGAAGCGATATAATTAAGTTCTGCCATCGCCTTTCTGTCAACATTGAATCTGATTGGTTGTTGTTAAAGTTCCTTCTGTCATTTTTTGCACATATATTTTGGTTGCTTTGTCCCCTGGACCTATTCTTACATGGCCTTATAGTTGTTAATACTTGTTCTAACTGGTTAATGAAGTGATCCTATTTCAATGTACTTATTGATTTTGTTAACTAACCTAATTAGCAAAATATAAAAACTGAGCGGTCTTTGTGTTTCTGTTCACTATTTCAACGTTCTCCTGGTCAAGTCTTTGCCCATATTTGTCTACGTGTTTTAACATAAGCATAGATATATGTTAACGTTTAACATTTAGTTGATGTTCATGTTCGGATCTCTATCAACTTCTGTTAAAAGCTATGCACAGGTGATAAGCAACCACAAGTAAATCTTTCTAATCCTACTCGACGTACGTGTTTTTTATGAACTGTTATCAAAGATCTTCATATATACATAATTATATCTAATAAAATAGCATATAGCCTAAAAGATGTTGATATTTCCATTATTTAAATATTCTAAATACTTTGATCTTTTAATGCTATATATGATATACATGTTTTTGGTTCATTAATGTTTGATTACCCTTACATCCTAAGATAGTCGTGAAAACCGAATTAGTATTGATATTAGTCTCCCGAAAAAATATTTCTGATTCATAACTTATGGAACAAATACATAGCTTTGTTTCTGCATAAACTTTGAAATAAATTAAAGTCATAATTGTTCATTTTATTGGAATAACTATATTTCTGTTGACCAGTTCACACACCATAGGTCCAATTGTCGCCTAAATTCGTGTATTTGAACAATTGAAAAAGTTGCAGTATGAATTAACTTTCAAATATTGTCTGATTATTTCGACTCTGTTGTTTGTTCGGTATGAGAATACGTCACTTTCCAGTATATTGTAGTTTAGACATCTGTTTCGAACTCGAATAGGTCATTATATCTTTTATTGCTTTTCATTGATTTTCAACTTCTTAGTTTTGTTATTAGTATCAATCCCTGCATACTTTCCAAACTAGTAACCTTGGTTTCGAAAAAGAATAAATACCGGGAAAATCTTCTTTTTTTCACAATTTAAAGTTATTGTATATATAATTTCTTGAATTGTGCATCTCACCGATAGTCAGTTCTGTTCAACAACTGCTTTTGTCTATCTATCTATATATTTTTTGCTCATTAACAGATAATTGAGTCAATAATTTTGGAACTAGTACAGATGCTTTTGTGAAGGCTGTTGAATTTTGTAGTTTGCACCACGGACTCACTGTATCTAACTACACAACCAGTGGAAACTAAGAAGTACGAGATAGCCTCTTCGTCCTAGTATGGAACTCCTCAGCAGTGCCCAGCGACGAATTCACCAGGGTCGAAATTAGGACTCATCCTACCTATTGCCAAGCTGTTACCAGTGGATTTCAACTGCATCGGGAAGGAGGCAATCACTCACCAATAGTTTTGAATGGTAATCACTTAATACGGAAAATTGACTGAAGTTAGAAATGTAAACCTACTCAGTGGACCGAAGTTTAGCACTTTCTGTGAGGCTTGAGGTTCCTAAATACAACCACTAATAGGGCAGTAGGTACGCATTACTGAGGACTCCTGTGCTTGGACGAAACGTCCGCTCAGTACTTCTTGGTTCTCTGTTGTCTAGCTACAATCAATCCATGATGTAAACCACGTAATCACTATACTCTACATATGTTTGAAGTTCATATCCTAATATTATATTAATTATTATGTTTGGTCTCTGAATAGCAAAGAGTTTAGAACCAATTTAAACATAATACTTTACTCGTAGGGTGCTTATACGAAATGCCTTCAAGGTTAAATTTACGCTAAAGACTAATGTCACTTTCTATAAACTGATTATTATTATTATTATTATTATTATTATTATTATTATTATTATTATTATTATTATTATTATTATTATTATTATTATTATTATTATTATTATTAATAGAATGTCAACAGAAAAAGAATAAAATAGAAATTATTATTTTTATGATTGTTTATATTGGATATTTGATTAGGTAAGTGATAGTTTTCGTTTTGTTTTGTTGTTTAAGAGGAAAAACACGACGAAAAACAAAAAAGGAGTAAGTTGGTACTTGAAATAATTGGCTACATACGCATACAACGTAGTGCTGATTGAATAATGCGACTTTTTCTGTGGAAGAGAACCATACTTATACACAGACGAGGGTCAGTTTTTCTAGGTTACAAAACAGGTTTCATGTGTATTCGCTTATTTTCAATAATAATAATAATTAAGCAACAGGTCAAATGTCAACATCAGTTGGAGAGTGTGAATAACTTGTGCTTGAGACAATAAATGGTAAGCTTTGCTTTGTTATATACGATGATTCTGGTTCTATTAATTCTGCAACTAAAAATCCGCGTAAAATTGCTTCTCTGACAGACAATCGTTCAGTTTGGTCAGAGCTACTATCGCCTTTTTTACTTATCGGTGAATCAGTACTGAATGGTGACTCGTAAACAGAATGTGTAAACAGCATTCGACCGGTTTCTTTGTCAATTAGACCAGCTCGTATTGCAGATGCAACGTCCAGATTAATTGGATTATGTTTGTTTTGACCTGCATCAGGTCTAATTGAATGTACTAGATACCTACTTCGTTGTATCTCTGGTGTTCTCCAAACTATTTTGGCATCCAATGATGGCTGCGCTTCTGTTGATATTCTATCACTAGCTAACCGAACTGCCTTAGAAATCACTGCATCTGCCAGTGGTATGGAAACTGTTGAATCTACTGATGATTGCCTAGGTCCAAGTTTTTCATAATCCCAGTATACTACTCTTAGTAGACCACGATAAAACGCTTCACTTGCGCTAACGATTTTGCTTGTTCCAGGTACTATTACTCCAGTTATTTTGAGTTCCAGCAGTTTCCCAGGACTATCAACCCAAACTTCATCTCGTATCTGATTACTTGTGTCGCTATCCCTCCGGCGTTCTGTATCTCGTATTTCTGCTGGATGCCATGTCACCACCGAAAATTCTCTGTCTTCAATTTTCTGGCTTTGATTTATGCGAATTACTTCCTCATCACTTAGGTAAGTTGGTAGATATGTGCTGTTATTATCAGCTGTCATCTGCCCCACAAACCGAGTTTGTGATTGGGCGTCTTTTAATTGCGTTATTGGAAGTGTTTGAGGTTGTATTTGTGAATGAACGGTCACTGGGATGCTAGCTTGACTCCCACATGTTGGACATATATAAGTCTGGACTGTATGTTCAATACTGAATGTCGATTGCTCTTGTGTAGTCTCTGTAAATGTGGTAGTGGCCAAATTAAATGGATGAGAAGTACGTGTCTGCATGCTTGTTATCCCGTGCTGACGATGGTGACTTGTCAGTTCTTCGGTAGTCGGCGACAGTGGACTTACTACCGAGCCACTACGCGTCGGTGGTGGCTGATTTGTTCCTCCAGAAATGAAGCTACGACCACGTTGTATCCGTTTATTTTTATGTGGAGGTCGAGTGGTAAGGAGAATATCACTAGTCTGTGTTCCCATGTTCTCAAGATTTCTGACTTGACCCACTAAGTTTCCTGTTGAAGTAAACTGTGTCTTCGCTTCAACTAGCCGTGATTTTTCCGCCGTATGTATACTTCGATCAAGACTAACTGAAAGCCCTGAGTATCTACCGATCGTTCTTAATCTAGAAAGCAAGTATTGCTCTCCCCAAACTTTCAGTAAATTCTGCAAACAGATTTCAGCATCAGTATATATGCCTGTCTCATGTTCATGCATTCCATGCAAATCGATATCCTGTGGGTGTGTTTCTCTCAGAAACCGTTCGTGGGCTACATGAGAGTCAAGTGAACTTCCTCTTTCCCTATAGTCCTCTGTAAGCAACTCTTCATGTACTACTCGACGATCTCCACGTTTTTGCATAGTTGTGACCTTCGTTGTTCTTGGTGCAATTGTTGTTTCTTCATCAAACTCCTCATCTAAGTTACTAGGTAAACTCGATGTCAATAGATCAGTGTGTTCGACAATTCTTTTGGCTACTGGACCTCGACGACAATAAGATGACAAACCTTTTCTAGCTATTGTCGTCACAACTCTTTTTATATAATAGTCATCTTCAATCGCATCAGTTTGTACACCTATATTTATTGGTGAATCGATAGTTAACTTATGTTTCGAAGATTCAGTGGTTTGCGTTACCCCAGTAAGTGTCACTGGTGCAAATTGTACTCCCCAACTTACAACATCTGGTTTTAAATATTGATACGGTGTCTTAGCCTTTCCATTTCCATTCTGCTTGTTGATTCTGTATGAGCAAGCATATGAGTAGTTGGTCGTGCACTAACTGAAACTGAATTTTGTGGAGGTGAGTAACTTCCACTTGAATCTATTATTTGAGGATGTCTTACTTCATACTGAATATCTTGCAGAACATTTGATACTTGTGTTTCTGACCATGGTGTTTCTTTTAGTAACTTTATATTCCTCCTTTCAGATATCCGGGTATCATGATAGGATACTTGAGATTCTATAAGTCCTTTTTCAAAGGGCATAGTATCTACACACTTATCCGTAGTTAACTTTTCTAACTGAACAATTGTGGTCTTTTTCGAAATTTTTCCTATGCTATCAACTTCCCTACTTTCAGGTAATTGAATACTTCCCAACAAAAACGTATCAGTTTGGATATTCTTTGATTCATCCCTAGCTCTATAGCCGGACTCTCTGTATAGTTTCAGCACATCGGATGTGTCTGATGCTTTTGGCTTGTCAGGAATAGTTTCCATTTGGAGAATACGTGTAAAGTAATTTGATTTCACTGTACCGGATGCTGTTTGTTTTGTTCTTATTGATTTTTCTTCCGATTGCATATCTTTATCAATCGTTTTCTTATCATATCCCCGTGATATACACTTGAAACATTCAATATTTTTTAGTAAATACTCATCTGTCTGTGTTATCTCAGTTAATGAGGTTGACATTCCTTTGGAGATTGTCTCTTGAGGATGTATAAATTCTTCTTCTACTTGTTCACCAAGTTTAGATGGGTAGACTTGTAGTTTTTTGTTCTTAACTTGTAAAGGTGATGGAGAAGTCTCACTTGGTTTTGTTTCTTGAGTCCCTGTATCTACTGTAACTACTGGTCGTATATTACTTGCCTGAACTCCAATACTTGATGATGAAGAGGTTTTATGATGGTCACAAAGACAACTGTCCTGTATAGTTTGAGAAGATGTATTTTTTAATGTAGAAAATGAGGAACCATACTGAAGTTTCTTTTGATATTGTTGAGGAGTTATTTTTACTTGGCACTCTTGATCTATTTTTATTTTTGGTATTCCTTGTGAAGTGCTTGTCACATTAGACGCTGAATCATGAACCACATGTGCATCCACTGATGAAACTATTGTTTTATCAACCTGTTCAATACTTATATCCTGGTATCTATAATCTGAAGTTTGTGTTCCTATAGAGGCTACATTTATTGGAGTCTTTGGTGATGAAGGCGATATTAGATTCACTTGGAATTTCTTGTTTCGTTGATCCACACGTATGTTTGTTGAAAACGGCACATCTGTTTGAATGCTAACAACTCTGGACGTTACTGCATGACTAGTTGATGAAAGCTTCGTGAGTTCAGTATACTGACATGATACATCCGTATAACGAACTAAAGCAGTTTGAGTAAATTTACTGTCCAAGTGAACAGTGGACATAGTGTGATCTGTTTGGACTCCCAAATCAGTTGAATCACAACGAACCTGAAGTTTCTTCCCTTTCAGAGCAGTTCGTTCCTTCTCGTGTGCGACACTCATTTCTTTCATCTCAATTGGTGAACTTAAATCGACAGTCTGTGTCCCATCTATTGAATGTATTACTCCAGATTGAATTTGGACATCGTATGTTGTAGCGGATAACGTCGCTTGACAGAATGTATCAGCTAGTTTAGTAGGTGTGGTTTGTGTTGATTGTGAAGTGTTTGGAAGAGTATGCATGGTCGATGAGATTGTTGATTGAACAATGGGAGTAATTTGATCTGTTTGGACTCCCAAATCAGTTGAATCACAACGAACCTGAAGTTTCTTCCCTTTCAGAGCAGTTCGTTCCTTCTCGTGTGCGACACTCATTTCTTTCATCTCAATTGGTGAACTTAAATCGACAGTCTGTGTCCCATCTATTGAATGTATTACTCCAGATTGAATTTGGACATCGTATGTTGTAGCGGATAACGTCGCTTGACAGAATGTATCAGCTAGTTTAGTAGGTGTGGTTTGTGTTGATTGTGAAGTGTTTGGAAGAGTATGCATGGTCGATGAGATTGTTGATTGAACAATGGGAGTAATTTGATCTGTTTGGACTCCCAAATCAGTTGAATCACAACGAACCTGAAGTTTCTTCCCTTTCAGAGCAGTTCGTTCCTTCTCGTGTGCGACACTCATTTCTTTCATCTCAATTGGTGAACTTAAATCGACAGTCTGTGTCCCATCTATTGAATGTATTACTCCAGATTGAATTTGGACATCGTATGTTGTAGCGGATAACGCCGCTTGACAGAATGTATCAGCTAGTTTAGTAGGTGTGGTTTGTGTTGATTGTGAAGTGTTTGGAAGAGTATGCATGGTCGATGAGATTATTGATCGAACAATAGGCACAGTCTCAAAATGATCAACGCTCACATCAACAGTATCGAATCGTGGTCGTTCCTCTGGAATAGTCTGAACTGACTGTGCACAGTGGATAGTACCAGACTGAGTCACAACATCGAACGTGGTTTTCGGTAATACAGTAGGGACTTGAGTCATCGGATCAGTCTGTGTGCTTGTGTTGTCAACTGATTGACGCATTGTTGCCTGAACCTTCTTGCCTACTAATGAAGGTGACTTTTCACTATGAATCACACTGACGTCTGCAGTATGGAATACTGGTCGTTCCTCTGGAATAGTCTGAACTGACTGTGCACAGTGGATAGTACCAGACTGAGTCACAACATCGAACGTGGTTTTCGGTAATACAGTAGGGACTTGAGTCATCGGATCAGTCTGTGTGCTTGTGTTGTCAACTGATTGACGCATTGTTGCCTGAACCTTCTTGCCTACTAATGAAGGTGACTTTTCACTATGAATCACACTGACGTCTGCAGTATGGAATACTGGTCGTTCCTCTGGAATAGTCTGAACTGACTGTGAACATTGGACAGTACCAGACTGAGTCACAACATCGAACGTGGTTTTCGGTAATACAGTAGGGACTTGAGTCATCGGATCAGTCTGTGTGCTTGTGTTGTCAACTGATTGACGCATTGTTGCCTGAACCTTCTTGCCTACTAATGAAGGTGACTTTTCACTATGAATCACACTGACGTCTGCAGTATGGAATACTGGTCGTTCCTCTGGAATAGTCTGAACTGACTGTGAACATTGGACAGTACCAGACTGAGTCACAACATCGAACGTGGTTTTCGGTAATACAGTAGGGACTTGAGTCATCGGATCAGTCTGTGTGCTTGTGTTGTCAACTGATTGACGCATTGTTGCCTGAACCTTCTTGCCTACTAATGAAGGTGACTTTTCACTATGAATCACACTGACGTCTGCAGTATGGAATACTGGTCGTTCCTCTGGAATAGTCTGAACTGACTGTGAACATTGGACAGTACCAGACTGAGTCACAACATCGAACGTGGTTTTCGGTAATACAGTAGGGACTTGAGTCATCGGATCAGTCTGTGTGCTTGTGTTGTCAACTGATTGACGCATTGTTGCCTGAACCTTCTTGCCTACTAATGAAGGTGACTTTTCACTATGAATCACACTGACGTCTGCAGTATGGAATACTGGTCGTTCCTCTGGAATAGTCTGAACTGACTGTGAACATTGGACAGTACCAGACTGAGTCACAACATCGAACGTGGTTTTCGGTAATACAGTAGGGACTTGAGTCATCGGATCAGTCTGTGTGCTTGTGTTGTCAACTGATTGACGCATTGTTGCCTGAACCTTCTTGCCTACTAATGAAGGTGACTTTTCACTATGAATCACACTGACGTCTGCAGTATGGAATACTGGTCGTTCCTCTGGAATAGTCTGAACTGACTGTGCACAGTGGATAGTACCAGACTGAGTCACAACATCGAACGTGGTTTTCGGTAATACAGTAGGGACTTGAGTCATCGGATCAGTCTGTGTGCTTGTGTTGTCAACTGTTTGACGCATTGTTGCCTGAACCTTCTTGCCTACTAATGAAGGTGACTTTTCACTATGAATCACACTGACGTCTGCAGTATGGAATACTGGTCGTTCCTCTGGAATAGTCTGAACTGACTGTGCACAGTGGATAGTACCAGACTGAGTCACAACATCGAACGTGGTTTTCGGTAATACAGTAGGGACTTGAGTCATCGGATCAGTCTGTGTGCTTGTGTTGTCAACTGATTGACGCATTGTTGCCTGAACCTTCTTGCCTACTAATGAAGGTGACTTTTCACTATGAATCACACTGACGTCTGCAGTATGGAATACTGGTCGTTCCTCTGGAATAGTCTGAACTGACTGTGCACAGTGGATAGTACCAGACTGAGTCACAACATCGAACGTGGTTTTCGGTAATACAGTAGGGACTTGAGTCATCGGATCAGTCTGTGTGCTTGTGTTGTCAACTGTTTGACGCATTGTTGCCTGAACATTCTCGTATACCACGGGCTGCAATTTACCAGTCTGATCAACTCCTACACCGACAGTGTGGTATACTGGTCGTTCCTCTGGAATAGTCTGAACTGACTGTGAACATTGGACAGTACCAGACTGAGTCACAACATCGAACGTGGTTTTCGGTAATACAGTAGGGACTTGAGTCATCGGATCAGTCTGTGTGCTTGTGTTGTCAACTGATTGACGCATTGTTGCCTGAACCTTCTTGCCTACTAATGAAGGTGACTTTTCACTATGAATCACACTGACGTCTGCAGTATGGAATACTGGTCGTTCCTCTGGAATAGTCTGAACTGACTGTGCACAGTGGATAGTACCAGACTGAGTCACAACATCGAACGTGGTTTTCGGTAATACAGTAGGGACTTGAGTCATCGGATCAGTCTGTGTGCTTGTGTTGTCAACTGATTGACGCATTGTTGCCTGAACCTTCTTGCCTACTAATGAAGGTGACTTTTCACTATGAATCACACTGACGTCTGCAGTATGGAATACTGGTCGTTCCTCTGGAATAGTCTGAACTGACTGTGCACAGTGGATAGTACCAGACTGAGTCACAACATCGAACGTGGTTTTCGGTAATACAGTAGGGACTTGAGTCATCGGATCAGTCTGTGTGCTTGTGTTGTCAACTGATTGACGCATTGTTGCCTGAACCTTCTTGCCTACTAATGAAGGTGACTTTTCACTATGAATCACACTGACGTCTGCAGTATGGAATACTGGTCGTTCCTCTGGAATAGTCTGAACTGACTGTGCACAGTGGACAGTACCAGACTGAGTCACAACATCGAACGTGGTTTTCGGTAATACAGTAGGGACTTGAGTCATCGGATCAGTCTGTGTGCTTGTGTTGTCAACTGATTGACGCATGTTAACCTGAAGTTTCTTGTTCACCAGTGAAGGTGATTTTTCACTGTGAATCACACTGACGTCTGCAGTATGGAATACTGGTTGTTCTTGTAGAATAGTTTGTGTTGACTGTGTCTTGACTACCGTCCCTGATTGTGCTTGTATATCAAATGTTTTTATGTTGACTTTCAGCCATTCCGCTTGTGTTTGCTTATGTGCGACTTGCGGAGCTCGGGAAAACACCTGAGCAACGGGTTTGACAGGCTGTACGCTTACCTCTTCAGTTTGCAAACACACATCGTCAGATGGATGGTATACCACAGCTTGAAGTTTCTTGTTTACTGTTTGTAAATGATGTGACTCATGAAATACACTCACATCCTTTATATCTGGGATTAGTTTCTGTTCGTGTGGTGTTTGTGTTTCTGAATCTATCGTCACTGATCCTGATTGTGTTTGCACATCAAATGTAGGTTTTGTCGGTGTTGGATGTGCAGAGGTTCCTACTAATTCTGTTTGTATGACTACGTCTTTCATTTGAGACATTATTGTTGCTTGTAACTTCTTGTTAATTTGTCGGTTTTTGAGTTCATGAGTTACACTAACGTCGGTCTTGTTCACTGTGGTGTGGACCTCTTCTATTGTTTGTGCTCCCTGTTCTTTTTGGATTATTCCTGATTGTGTCTGTACATTCGTCTGGTGTTTCTGCTTGATATTTATCAGTTGACTTTCATCTGTTTGGACGTAAGTATAGGACACTGGATGTTGAGCATCTGCCTGAATATCTATATTTATCATTGTTCTTTGTACTGCCTCATACTGTGTACTAGTTTCTTTCGTCATTCCGAATGTTTTATGCTCTAATTTTGTCTGCAATCCCTGTGATTTGCAAATGATTCCTGATTGTATTTCTACATCATTTGTTTTGGATTTGATTTGCGCGTAGGACTGACGTTCAAAAAATTCTAGACTGTCAGTTTGTGATGATATTTCATGTGTCTGTACAGGGTGATGAATTCTTTGCATCGTGGGTACTGTTACGACTGGTATTGATTCGTATGTTTGCGCGGCTACCTCTCGAACTGACTGGGAAATAGTTACTTGTAGCTTTTTATTTATTATTTGTGTAGTCGTTGGTGCGTGCTGAACACTTCCTTCTTTCGTAGTTGTCAACGGTAAATGAAATGTTTGAGTTTCTTCCTGACGACAAAGTACGTCAAATTGAGCTTCTGCATTACGAATATTAATTACACGTTTATCTTTTATCACACACTGTATTTCAACGTTCTTACTTTCAACTTTTATGCTAGCTTGGACAGCTTTAGAGAAACCAGAATTGATCGATTTGACATAATCAACAGAGACATCTTTCATCAAAAAATCTTCCGATATAAGAAGAGCTTGACAACCAACAGTAAAAGATAGAGTACCGGACTGAGTCACAACATCGAACGTGGTTTTCGGTAATACAGTAGGGACTTGAGTCATCGGATCAGTCTGTGTGCTTGTGTTGTCAACTGATTGACGCATTGTTGCCTGAACCTTCTTGCCTACTAATGAAGGTGACTTTTCACTATGAATCACACTGACGTCTGCAGTATGGAATACTGGTCGTTCCTCTGGAATAGTCTGAACTGACTGTGCACAGTGGATAGTACCAGACTGAGTCACAACATCGAACGTGGTTTTCGGTAATACAGTAGGGACTTGAGTCATCGGATCAGTCTGTGTGCTTGTGTTGTCAACTGTTTGACGCATTGTTGCCTGAACATTCTCGTATACCACGGGCTGCAATTTACCAGTCTGATCAACTCCTACACCGACAGTGTGGTATACTGGTCGTTCCTCTGGAATAGTCTGAACTGACTGTGAACATTGGACAGTACCAGACTGAGTCACAACATCGAACGTGGTTTTCGGTAATACAGTAGGGACTTGAGTCATCGGATCAGTCTGTGTGCTTGTGTTGTCAACTGATTGACGCATTGTTGCCTGAACCTTCTTGCCTACTAATGAAGGTGACTTTTCACTATGAATCACACTGACGTCTGCAGTATGGAATACTGGTCGTTCCTCTGGAATAGTCTGAACTGACTGTGCACAGTGGATAGTACCAGACTGAGTCACAACATCGAACGTGGTTTTCGGTAATACAGTAGGGACTTGAGTCATCGGATCAGTCTGTGTGCTTGTGTTGTCAACTGTTTGACGCATTGTTGCCTGAACATTCTCGTATACCACGGGCTGCAATTTACCAGTCTGATCAACTCCTACACCGACAGTGTGGTATACTGGTCGTTCCTCTGGAATAGTCTGAACTGACTGTGAACATTGGACAGTACCAGACTGAGTCACAACATCGAACGTGGTTTTCGGTAATACAGTAGGGACTTGAGTCATCGGATCAGTCTGTGTGCTTGTGTTGTCAACTGATTGACGCATTGTTGCCTGAACCTTCTTGCCTACTAATGAAGGTGACTTTTCACTATGAATCACACTGACGTCTGCAGTATGGAATACTGGTCGTTCCTCTGGAATAGTCTGAACTGACTGTGCACAGTGGATAGTACCAGACTGAGTCACAACATCGAACGTGGTTTTCGGTAATACAGTAGGGACTTGAGTCATCGGATCAGTCTGTGTGCTTGTGTTGTCAACTGATTGACGCATTGTTGCCTGAACCTTCTTGCCTACTAATGAAGGTGACTTTTCACTATGAATCACACTGACGTCTGCAGTATGGAATACTGGTCGTTCCTCTGGAATAGTCTGAACTGACTGTGAACATTGGACAGTACCAGACTGAGTCACAACATCGAACGTGGTTTTCGGTAATACAGTAGGGACTTGAGTCATCGGATCAGTCTGTGTGCTTGTGTTGTCAACTGATTGACGCATTGTTGCCTGAACCTTCTTGCCTACTAATGAAGGTGACTTTTCACTATGAATCACACTGACGTCTGCAGTATGGAATACTGGTCGTTCCTCTGGAATAGTCTGAACTGACTGTGCACAGTGGATAGTACCAGACTGAGTCACAACATCGAACGTGGTTTTCGGTAATACAGTAGGGACTTGAGTCATCGGATCAGTCTGTGTGCTTGTGTTGTCAACTGATTGACGCATTGTTGCCTGAACCTTCTTGCCTACTAATGAAGGTGACTTTTCACTATGAATCACACTGACGTCTGCAGTATGGAATACTGGTCGTTCCTCTGGAATAGTCTGAACTGACTGTGCACAGTGGATAGTACCAGACTGAGTCACAACATCGAACGTGGTTTTCGGTAATACAGTAGGGACTTGAGTCATCGGATCAGTCTGTGTGCTTGTGTTGTCAACTGTTTGACGCATTGTTGCCTGAACATTCTCGTATACCACGGGCTGCAATTTACCAGTCTGATCAACTCCTACACCGACAGTGTGGTATACTGGTCGTTCCTCTGGAATAGTCTGAACTGACTGTGAACATTGGACAGTACCAGACTGAGTCACAACATCGAACGTGGTTTTCGGTAATACAGTAGGGACTTGAGTCATCGGATCAGTCTGTGTGCTTGTGTTGTCAAATGATTGACGCATTGTTGCCTGAACCTTCTTGCCTACTAATGAAGGTGACTTTTCACTATGAATCACACTGACATCTGCAGTATGGAATACTGGTCGTTCCTCTGGAATAGTCTGAACTGACTGTGCACAGTGGACAGTACCAGACTGAGTCACAACATCGAACGTGGTTTTCGGTAATACAGTAGGGACTTGAGTCATCGGATCAGTCTGTGTGCTTGTGTTGTCAACTGATTGACGCATGTTAACCTGAAGTTTCTTGTTCACCAGTGAAGGTGATTTTTCACTGTGAATCACACTGACGTCTGCAGTATGGAATACTGGTTGTTCTTGTAGAATAGTTTGTGTTGACTGTGTCTTGACTACCGTCCCTGATTGTGCTTGTATATCAAATGTTTTTATGTTGACTTTCAGCCATTCCGCTTGTGTTTGCTTATGTGCGACTTGCGGAGCTCGGGAAAACACCTGAGCAACGGGTTTGACAGGCTGTACGCTTACCTCTTCAGTTTGCAAACACACATCGTCAGATGGATGGTATACCAAAGCTTGAAGTTTCTTGTTTACTGTTTGTAAATGATGTGACTCATGAAATACACTCACATCCTTTATATCTGGGATTAGTTTCTGTTCGTGTGGTGTTTGTGTTTCTGAATCTATCGTCACTGATCCTGATTGTGTTTGAACGTCGAATAACTTTGGTGGCAAGATAACCGGTGGTGGTCTCTCTTCCATCGTCTGAGTCTCTGTGTTAATGGTGGTCGGTTGTACCATTGCTTGTAATTTTTTGTGTACAATTGGTTCTGGACGTTTCTCGTGTTGTGTAAGCAACTCTTTCATTTCGATTACTGGTCTACGTTCTTGTGGTGTTTGTGTTTCTGAATCTATCGTCACTGATCCTGATTGTGTTTGAACGTCGAATAACTTTGGTGGCAAGATAACCGGTGGTGGTCTCTCTTCCATCGTCTGAGTCTCTGTGTTAATGGTGGTCGGTTGTACCATTGCTTGTAATTTTTTGTGTACAATTGGTTCTGGACGTTTCTCGTGTTGTGTAATCATGTCTTTCATTTCGACGACGGGTCTCTGTTCACCTGGCGTTTGTGCTGCCTGTGACTTAAGCATACTTCCAAACTGAGTCTGAACATCGTATGTTTTCAATTTGAATGACGTAAATGATTGTTCATCTTTTAATGCCACTCTCTCAGTTTGTGTCGGTGTTTCTTGTGTTTGTGGTTCATGATGCGTAGTTTTCACCATGGGCACGACAACAGGTTGTGCTAATAAACCTGTTTGTGTAGCCATGTTTTCTAATGGCGGGACGACTGTAGCCTGTAACTTCTTGGGAATTGATTGAACAGGTTTTGTTTCTTGATGTACACTTGCATCTTTAGTCGCAACCACTGGCCTACGTTCTAGTGGTGTTTGTGTTTCTGAATCTATCGTCACTGATCCTGATTGTGTTTGAACGTCGAATAACTTTGGTGGCAAGATAACCGGTGGTGGTCTCTCTTCCATCGTCTGAGTCTCTGTGTTAATGGTGGTCGGTTGTACCATTGCTTGTAATTTTTTGTGTACAATTGGTTCTGGACGTTTCTCGTGTTGTGTAAGCAACTCTTTCATTTCGATTACTGGTCTACGTTCTTGTGGTGTTTGTGTTTCTGAATCTATCGTCACTGATCCTGATTGTGTTTGAACGTCGAATAACTTTGGTGGCAAGATAACCGGTGGTGGTCTCTCTTCCATCGTCTGAGTCTCTGTGTTAATGGTGGTCGGTTGTACCATTGCTTGTAATTTTTTGTGTACAATTGGTTCTGGACGTTTCTCGTGTTGTGTAATCATGTCTTTCATTTCGACGACGGGTCTCTGTTCACCTGGCGTTTGTGCTGCCTGTGACTTAAGCATACTTCCAAACTGAGTCTGAACATCGTATGTTTTCAATTTGAATGACGTAAATGATTGTTCATCTTTTAATGCCACTCTCTCAGTTTGTGTCGGTGTTTCTTGTGTTTGTGGTTCATGATGCGTAGTTTTCACCATGGGCACGACAACAGGTTGTGCTAATAAACCTGTTTGTGTAGCCATGTTTTCTAATGGCGGGACGACTGTAGCCTGTAACTTCTTGGGAATTGATTGAACAGGTTTTGTTTCTTGATGTACACTTGCATCTTTAGTCGCAACCACTGGCCTACGTTCTAGTGGTGTTTGTGTTTCTGAATCTATCGTCACTGATCCTGATTGTGTTTGAACGTCGAATAACTTTGGTGGCAAGATAACCGGTGGTGGTCTCTCTTCCATCGTCTGAGTCTCTGTGTTAATGGTGGTCGGTTGTACCATTGCTTGTAATTTTTTGTGTACAATTGGTTCTGGACGTTTCTCGTGTTGTGTAAGCAACTCTTTCATTTCGATTACTGGTCTACGTTCTTGTGGTGTTTGTGTTTCTGAATCTATCGTCACTGATCCTGATTGTGTTTGAACGTCGAATAACTTTGGTGGCAAGATAACCGGTGGTGGTCTCTCTTCCATCGTCTGAGTCTCTGTGTTAATGGTGGTCGGTTGTACCATTGCTTGTAATTTTTTGTGTACAATTGGTTCTGGACGTTTCTCGTGTTGTGTAATCATGTCTTTCATTTCGACGACGGGTCTCTGTTCACCTGGCGTTTGTGCTGCCTGTGACTTAAGCATACTTCCAAACTGAGTCTGAACATCGTATGTTTTCAATTTGAATGACGTAAATGATTGTTCATCTTTTAATGCCACTCTCTCAGTTTGTGTCGGTGTTTCTTGTGTTTGTGGTTCATGATGCGTAGTTTTCACCATGGGCACGACAACAGGTTGTGCTAATAAACCTGTTTGTGTAGCCATGTTTTCTAATGGCGGGACGACTGTAGCCTGTAACTTCTTGGGAATTGATTGAACAGGTTTTGTTTCTTGATGTACACTTGCATCTTTAGTCGCAACCACTGGCCTACGTTCTAGTGGTGTTTGTGTTTCTGAATCTATCGTCACTGATCCTGATTGTGTTTGAACGTCGAATAACTTTGGTGGCAAGATAACCGGTGGTGGTCTCTCTTCCATCGTCTGAGTCTCTGTGTTAATGGTGGTCGGTTGTACCATTGCTTGTAATTTTTTGTGTACAATTGGTTCTGGACGTTTCTCGTGTTGTGTAATCATGTCTTTCATTTCGACGACGGGTCTCTGTTCACCTGGCGTTTGTGCTGCCTGTGACTTAAGCATACTTCCAAACTGAGTCTGAACATCGTATGTTTTCAATTTGAATGACGTAAATGATTGTTCATCTTTTAATGCCACTCTCTCAGTTTGTGTCGGTGTTTCTTGTGTTTGTGGTTCATGATGCGTAGTTTTCACCATGGGCACGACAACAGGTTGTGCTAATAAACCTGTTTGTGTAGCCATGTTTTCTAATGGCGGGACGACTGTAGCCTGTAACTTCTTGGGAATTGATTGAACAGGTTTTGTTTCTTGATGTACACTTGCATCTTTAGTCGCAACCACTGGCCTACGTTCTAGTGGTGTTTGTGTTTCTGAATCTATCGTCACTGATCCTGATTGTGTTTGAACGTCGAATAACTTTGGTGGCAAGATAACCGGTGGTGGTCTCTCTTCCATCGTCTGAGTCTCTGTGTTAATGGTGGTCGGTTGTACCATTGCTTGTAATTTTTTGTGTACAATTGGTTCTGGACGTTTCTCGTGTTGTGTAAGCAACTCTTTCATTTCGATTACTGGTCTACGTTCTTGTGGTGTTTGTGTTTCTGAATCTATCGTCACTGATCCTGATTGTGTTTGAACGTCGAATAACTTTGGTGGCAAGATAACCGGTGGTGGTCTCTCTTCCATCGTCTGAGTCTCTGTGTTAATGGTGGTCGGTTGTACCATTGCTTGTAATTTTTTGTGTACAATTGGTTCTGGACGTTTCTCGTGTTGTGTAAGCAACTCTTTCATTTCGATTACTGGTCTACGTTCTTGTGGTGTTTGTGTTTCTGAATCTATCGTCACTGATCCTGATTGTGTTTGAACGTCGAATAACTTTGGTGGCAAGATAACCGGTGGTGGTCTCTCTTCCATCGTCTGAGTCTCTGTGTTAATGGTGGTCGGTTGTACCATTGCTTGTAATTTTTTGTGTACAATTGGTTCTGGACGTTTCTCGTGTTGTGTAATCATGTCTTTCATTTCGACGTCGGGTCTCTGTTCACCTGGCGTTTGTGCTGCCTGTGACTTAAGCATACTTCCAAACTGAGTCTGAACATCGTATGTTTTCAATTTGAATGACGTAAATGATTGTTCATCTTTTAATGCCACTCTCTCAGTTTGTGTCGGTGTTTCTTGTGTTTGTGGTTCATGATGCGTAGTTTGCACCACTCTGAAATCCATTTCGTGCTGCATTCCGGTTGATCGTTTTTCTGTTGTTGGCTTGTAATCTAATAATGTCTGGAATGCTTGGGAAATATTTATCGTCCCTGACTGTGTTTGTACGTCATAATTTTTACTCCTTATTCGAGTGAACGTTTGTTGGCTCCTCATTTTTACTTCAGCTTCCGGTGAACTTTCTATGGTTTGTGTTTCTTTTGAACTGAATTTTACGAATGTTTCAACGTCTTTATCTTTTGTTAATATACCGAATTGAGTCGTTACCTCAAAGGTTTCTTTCTGTTTCGCCGTCACCAAGTTCGTTGATATTACATTTTCTCTAGTTATCTCTTCTGTTTGTATATTTATATGTTTAAATGCCTGTTTGATATCTGCCTGTACTTGTCTGCTTTGACGCTCTATGTTTGGTGGCACTTGGTATGAACCTAGGTGCCTTACAGCAATTTCTGCTCTTGGATCTACTCCCACTGAAATAATTGAAGGAATCTCTGACTGTGTGGATACTTCATGGTTTACCTGACCAACCTGACATATAACATCGTTGACAGCCTTCGACACAAACTTCGGTTCCACTCGGAATCCCATATCTGTCTGAATCTCCTTAGTGTTTGTTGGTGTTTTGGCACTTTGAGTTCCCGCTAGTAACATTGAAGTTTTATGAGGTTCATCTATCTGGATCCCTGAAGATTCCATAACACTTCCTACTTGACATACTACATCGGACGATGGTTTGCGTAACATATGCTTAATTAAGTCGGCCTGTTGGTAGGCATCTACGGTTTCTTTGTACGATGTTATCGGTACATCCTGTGTTTCTATTGGCTTCACATACACCGGTTGTTCTTGTATCAGTTCAGCTTGTGTTATTTTCGATGTGTGGACAATCCCTGTTTGTGTGACGACATCGTTGGCCATCTTCTTTTCCCACACGTGAATCGGGTCAATGCCAGTATCCTTGTATGCTGGTCTAGCGGTGACATGTTCAACTGACTGTGTGGATACTTCATGGTTTACCTGACCAACCTGACATATAACATCGTTGACAGCCTTCGACACAAACTTCGGTTCCACTCGGAATCCCATATCTGTCTGAATCTCCTTAGTGTTTGTTGGTGTTTTGGCACTTTGAGTTCCCGCTAGTAACATTGAAGTTTTATGAGGTTCATCTATCTGGATCCCTGAAGATTCCATAACACTTCCTACTTGACATACTACATCGGACGATGGTTTGCGTAACATATGCTTAATTAAGTCGGCCTGTTGGTAGGCATCTACGGTTTCTTTGTACGATGTTATCGGTACATCCTGTGTTTCTATTGGCTTCACATACACCGGTTGTTCTTGTATCAGTTCAGCTTGTGTTATTTTCGATGTGTGGACAATCCCTGTTTGTGTGACGACATCGTTGGCCATCTTCTTTTCCCACACGTGAATCGGGTCAATGCCAGTATCCTTGTATGCTGGTCTAGCGGTGACATGTTCAACTGACTGTGTGGATACTTCATGGTTTACCTGACCAACCTGACATATAACATCGTTGACAGCCTTCGACACAAACTTCGGTTCCACTCGGAATCCCATATCTGTCTGAATCTCCTTAGTGTTTGTTGGTGTTTTGGCACTTTGAGTTCCCGCTAGTAACATTGAAGTTTTATGAGGTTCATCTATCTGGATCCCTGAAGATTCCATAACACTTCCTACTTGACATACTACATCGGACGATGGTTTGCGTAACATATGCTTAATTAAGTCGGCCTGTTGGTAGGCATCTACGGTTTCTTTGTACGATGTTATCGGTACATCCTGTGTTTCTATTGGCTTCACATACACCGGTTGTTCTTGTATCAGTTCAGCTTGTGTTATTTTCGATGTGTGGACAATCCCTGTTTGTGTGACGACATCGTTGGCCATCTTCTTTTCCCACACGTGAATCGGGTCAATGCCAGTATCCTTGTATGCTGGTCTAGCGGTGACATGTTCAACTGACTGTGTGGATACTTCATGGTTTACCTGACCAACCTGACATATAACATCGTTGACAGCCTTCGACACAAACTTCGGTTCCACTCGGAATCCCATATCTGTCTGAATCTCCTTAGTGTTTGTTGGTGTTTTGGCACTTTGAGTTCCCGCTAGTAACATTGAAGTTTTATGAGGTTCATCTATCTGGATCCCTGAAGATTCCATAACACTTCCTACTTGACATACTACATCGGACGATGGTTTGCGTAACATATGCTTAATTAAGTCGGCCTGTTGGTAGGCATCTACGGTTTCTTTGTACGATGTTATCGGTACATCCTGTGTTTCTATTGGCTTCACATACACCGGTTGTTCTTGTATCAGTTCAGCTTGTGTTATTTTCGATGTGTGGACAATCCCTGTTTGTGTGACGACATCGTTGGCCATCTTCTTTTCCCACACGTGAATCGGGTCAATGCCAGTATCCTTGTATGCTGGTCTAGCGGTGACATGTTCAACTGACTGTGTGGATACTTCATGGTTTACCTGACCAACCTGACATATAACATCGTTGACAGCCTTCGACACAAACTTCGGTTCCACTCGGAATCCCATATCTGTCTGAATCTCCTTAGTGTTTGTTGGTGTTTTGGCACTTTGAGTTCCCGCTAGTAACATTGAAGTTTTATGAGGTTCATCTATCTGGATCCCTGAAGATTCCATAACACTTCCTACTTGACATACTACATCGGACGATGGTTTGCGTAACATATGCTTAATTAAGTCGGCCTGTGTTGATTGTGCTATTTGAACCTTTCCTATTTGACACATTATATCACTTTTCTTCATATCTTGTCTTATCATTTGTTCATTACTGATGAGCATTGATGACATCTCCGTACTTGCGTTTATTGTTATCCTACCTATTTGACATGCGGCTTCAGTTGTTTTCACTGGTTGTTGCCATACATTTTTGATTTCTGCTTGTACTCCAAGATTTTTCTTATTTCTTTCTGTATTCTCTATTTCTACTTGTGTTCCAATTGTTTGTGTAACCTGTCCTATTTGACAGATAGCATCTAGTACGCTGTATTTTCGTGCACCTTTTTGTGATTCATGTACCTCCATTTTCACAACGGTTTCTGTGATGCTTTCCGACTGAGTGGAATTATTCTTAGTGATAACACCAGATTGAACTATCGCATCCAAAGTTGGCTTTTTAAGCGTTTGTTGCAGCTTGTAATGTTCTAATGTTTGACATGAAGCATTCGCTGTAATTTGACCTATTTGACATAATACTTCTTTAACTGAACGCTTAGGACTGTATCCATGATAGTCATCTTGTGTGCCTGCATCGACTTTTGAAACTCCAATTTGAGTTATTGCATTTCTTACTTGTTTTTTTTCAGGAATGGTCGCTGGCACAAATTGTCTTTTAGATACATATAAATCTATTTTATTACGTCCACCATCACCGTCGTCATCAGAAATTTGAGTCCCTGATGTTTTGGTTGTAACACCAATTTGTGTAATAGCATCAAGTACTGGACATGGAATTGATTCTGATCTTGTTCTAGACGATAATCGTGATGTTTCTCTCACTATAGATTGAGGTGATCTTGCATCTATTGGATACATTTGATTATTACCTGTCCAATTGTCAGATATTGTACTAGATTTTAAACTAGAACTTATTCTAGAATTGGTTATACTAGAATCAACATTCGGTTCATGTTCATATCGGCTACTCCATCTTTTCACACGATTTATCAATTGATCCAACTGAGACTGACTCTCATGTTGTAACTGACTAAATAAAGAAACATAATAAAAGTATAAAAATATAAACCATTATGATTACACATATGCTTGTTAAGACATTGCTAAAACATATATCACACAATTCTGATAAACTTCGTCTTCTCATTGCATTATCGAAATTTATCAAATGGACTAATTATTTTAAATAAACCAGTACAGTATTTTAAAATAAATTGTATCTAATTATGTAATGATCTTTCTTCGACCCTTTTTCAAATATAATTTGAACAACACATATAAGCGAACAGTTGTTTTCAATTAGATCGTCATCAGGCCTTACTCTAATATACATGAATATTTATACGAAAATGTTAAACCAATCAAGGCAATATGGGTTAACAATCACAATGAAATTTTCCGCATCCTTCCGTTTGTATTCTTCACTATCTAATTATTTACGCACTTCTTATTACGTAATGATTTTAATGTTTTGTGTTGACTATTCCAGGTCTATTTACTCACGTTTGACTATTGATACGTCACAGGTATTCAGTGTTTGACAACGCTCCTACCAGTAACACCTAATATATTTCGTTCCCACCAAGAGCAATCAAAAGACAGAGTCGAGGAGATCGGAAAAGTATATTTGGCGATGACCAATATATCGGAATTCTCTGATCTAATCTGGCTAGCGATTGCGGTTGATGTTGAGCACGGCGTTACCACACGTGATCTGGTACGGATGCCTGACCGAGCGCCTTCAGCTAGATAAGACTTTTGTTATCGTATTTTATTATTCTTACCACTATCAGTACACCCACCTTCCTACTATCAACTTGTATTTTTACTTACCATGTGTTGTGATTATTAACCCATATTGCCTTAATTGGTTTACATTTTCGTATAAATATTCATGTATATTAGAGTAAAGCCTGATGACGATCTAATTGAAAAGAATATTGTTCGCTTATATATGTTGTTCTAATTTTCACAATGGGGATCTTTAGTATTCTAAAATATAATTTGAACAATTCTGATTCAGCAATTTTAATAATGTTTTAGCTAATTTTATTTCAATCTCTATTTTCTTTTTTCTAACCTTTTGACATACTTCCCATTGAAATACATTGATCTAAGCCTTTATTATTTTTTAATCCAAGTAAATCGCCTAATTTGGAATTTGATAGTAAAATGAACAAATAGTTATCACCATGTACTGATAACAGTTCATTATTATCTATCTGTTCACATTGATATTGAAGTTATTCCACAGTATAAAGTAAACTAATCAATCCACAATCCTATGCTGATAATTGTTAATATGCACACTCGTGACTAGCTCTGAGAGGTGATTCCGTGGTTTTAGTGAGAAGCCGTGACCAGTGAAGCTAATCCGTGTAGAGTGTGTAGTAGTTGCTCACCGAAGACAGTGGAAAGTGGTCGCGCGATGTCGTAAATTTATTGGGGTTAGACATCCACACTATTAGACTGAGACTCAGTGGTCTGGAGGTTAGGCGTTTGCACACGAGACAGAAGGTCTTGGGTTAAATTCCGCGTTCGTGGTCGCAAATACACACTTCTGAGGATCCTCATACTAGGATGAAACATTGGTCCAGTGCTTCCAAGTTTCCGATGCTGGTCTCAGTCAGTCAGCTACAACGTAGGACCAGGCACATTTGCTGGCCTAACTTACATTGGTTATTACTTTGAATTAGAGTATATAGTGAAATGAATAAATCATTAGTTTGTAAAATTCTGATTAAGAGTAGTGGAATATTTAACTTATACTCTGGTAAAAGATGACTCACAAAAATCCAGTAAAATTACAACTCAAACAAAATGGACACGTGAAGTTAGTTGGTTGGCACATGATTATGTCAAAGAATAAAAAGTGGTAAAGAATTGGAAGTAGTATGTTACAAATAATGAGAACGAATAAAGTGTATCGTGGAAATAATCGGATTTCAGCGCGAAATTCGTTCTTGCACTACAGCTGATCAGAATTGGCTACGTGTTCATGAATTTTTAATACATCTCAATATTTAATATGTGTTTGATATTTAGCACTTTCCTGCTCAGTTAGTCAGTGAACGATATATGTAACAGTATAATTTTCATTGCAGATTTGATTTCAAATACTAATCTGTAGTTTATTGGCTCGTTTCATCCACTAAGTTGGGATACGCCACAATAGCGTGTTCACAAATGATATAAGTTAGTAATTTTAGACGATTAGAATGAAGTCTCTAATGAAAATTACACTCTTATATGAAGTATTGATAAGCTAAATGAACGGGAAAGTAGTCGGAAATGCTAGATATGGCACTTTTATTGAACATTGATAGAGGATAGTTGTCTTCACACAGCTGAGAGCATTTCCTCATGAAACCTAGTAAGGGTAGGATACTCATGTTAAAACTTTATCAATTACAAGTATACTACATTTTTTATCATAAATCCTTTTATAACCAAACGCTGTTTCCTCGGCTGGAAAGTGGTTCAAGGTTATCTGTATAATTTACTTCCACTAGATAATGAATACTTTATCGTTTTAAGGTATAAATACTAAAGTTTGACTTGATAATTTTTAAAAAGCTGAGTACTGAGTGGATCGTCATTAATAAAAATAATATATTTGTAATAACCCAATAAATATAAAAATTAGATTTTCTGACATTTCGTGACTCATTGTAAGTCACTTCTTGGGAGAATGAATAACTAAGTCAAAATTAATCCAAGTTTAGATCGTACAGAGGAACAACGTTAGAAAAACTCATTTTTCTACCCATTGGGATATTACAAATATATTATTTCATTTACTTCGTCGTTTTATTCTTGTGTTTATTGTGTCTTCGTAACTTAGCCCGACTATACTATGCTGAAGGCCCTGAGTGGCTAATCAAAATTAGTCTAACCCATGCGCAAATTAAAAACGCCATTACGGATAGGTTGTTACCAAAACTCATGACCTCTATTATATTTTTTTTATTTCGAAAGGATTGGATGATGGTTTCCTTGGAGAATGAACTGTTAAGGTCAGGATGTTTGGGTTACGGATTGTAGGATTTGAACTCAGGATTAAGGCTAGGAGTATTAGTGTTAAGGAGCTTTTGGGTTATGAGTTAGGTTTGAAAAGATAAGGAGCCAAGAATTATGTTCTAAACTGATTACAAAACCACGATATCCAGCCTGAATTATCGATATTAAGCACTATAAGTTCATTAATGATTTAAAAACTCTTAACCCTCTGTACTTCTATATTTCCAAGCTCCTACCCGGGACCTGCATTTTGATTGGCTTTTCTCAAGGCTATCCGTAAATTTACTGAAGTTCGTTTGCATGGGATAGACTTGCCACTTATTTTATTCACCTTATCATGTCTATCTGACAGTAGTAGAGTAGGCATTGTAAAAAACCTACAGTGGAGCTAATCCGTGTCGGGTGGAGACAGGTGTCTACCTCGTTACAACGGAAGATGGTCGCGTAATTTCGTGGATTGGTTGAGGTTAGACATTAACAGCATTTGACGCCGGTCCAATGGTCCAGTAGGTTAAGCGTCCACGCGCGAAACTGAAGGCCCTGGGTTCGAATCCCGCGAGCGGGATCGTGGATGCGCACTGCTGAGGAGTCCCACGATAGGACGAAACGGCCGTCCAGTGCTTCCAGGTTTTCAATGGTGGTCTAACATCAATCGGTTCATGATCTCAATTAAAAATAAGTACAATTGTTGTCATTAATTTACATCATTATAATCCCACATGAACCTGTATATATTTAAGTCTGTTGAGCACATTAATTAACCTATTAAGCAGATAGACAGTGCCATTTTGATATGCATTAAGTCACCTGTATTCTCTATACATATCTCTTCATGCAACCTATGAGCACAAGTAAAAGCTACGCATTTATTTCTTTTACTTGCTTAAATGTTAGTTGCTTAAAGCTCTTGATGAATCACCCGTATATTCTTATATATTTTAGCTTGTTAAATCACATTAATTTCTTCGTTAATTAATCAGTTTCCCTCTTCCTATCGTTTACCTGCCGATCATTAGATATGAGCTATGTCTGGTATAAACTGTTCCCACAACTTCATTCCGACTTTTGGAGACCGCACATCATTAAGAATTATAGTAATAACGGTTATCAAGCCGATTAATATATGAAGTATAAGGATATTAGCGGATATTCGACAACAAATTGTATAATAACGGAAATTTTTGAAAATGAAGAACCTATTGGGGTAATAATTAGTTTTCACATTTGTTAGCCTATCTTAGAGGATCAATGATCATAAAACTTGTTTTATGTGGGAAACAAATTATATCAGAAATCAAAAGTTTTGAGATCAGTCGATTCTATAAGGAAAACAGGTGATATTGATTGATGACTTCATACAGTGACGAAAGCTGTAAACTTTTAATTATTACTTTGTAACTATGAATGACTTGGATAGCTTTAGATTTCATGGCAAAATGAAATTAATGATGTGCTTTCCTCAACTGCCAAATATGCTACAAATTATGTCCAATCATGTCTTTGAAAAAAACTTTTTAATTCAAGTTAGGAGTTCCTTGAATCTTTATCAAATATGAACACTTTGTTAGTATAGTCTGAATTTATATACATGTTCGATAGCTTCCATCACAAAATACCATCGTCTGTAGAATAAAGTGAGAATCAGAGAGCGCTGGACAACTATCTTTACTCACTTCGGGACTGCACATCAATTTGCACACATAACCGTACACAGAATCGATCCTATTATTTTGAGGTGACTACAAACCCATTAAGATATTAAGTTCAAAGCCAGTGTACCGTAGTTCCAACTTCAATTAATTCATGATATGTGATACGATAATCATTCAATTCCATAAGTGACAACCACCTCACTGGTGTGTGTTTTGAGAAAACTATGAAAAAAATAATCCCAACAATTATTGAAAATTAACTAACTCTATCAACGATAATTCATGATCAACTCGTTTTTGATCTGCATCGATTTCACGTAAATAATTTGTCATATGAGTTCCAGCCAGTTCAGATTGTGCACGTAAATGGTCCATTTGCCGTTCATGATCACGTAGTCTTAATAATGGACTATGCATACAAACAATATCTTGTTCTCTTAAAACTACTCCGCCATGTGAACTACGTTGTCGACTAACTAATAAGGAAAAAGCGGTAAACAGAAAAAATTTTTTAATAAGCAATCTTATCATAAGTAATCAGTAAAAAAGGCCTATAGGAAAGTATTTATTGAATATAGTGTAAACTATTCACTATGTTATAGGTATCAATGTCAAAGCTAGACTTGATAGTTTCAAAGAAATTACGCATTGGATAGGAAGTTATTGATAAATATGTTTTGTTATATTCCAATAAGTAGGAAATCGTATTTTCGACGTTTCGTGACTTAGTGTAGGCGACTTCTTCAGAGTCAATAAATAACCGAATTCTCTGAATAAGTGGCTTACATGAAGTCATGAAACGTCAAAAATATAAATTTCCTACTCATTGGGACATAACAAAAATATATTTATTATTCACCATACTCGTAGAAACGTAAGTAGTATGTTCCGTTTTAGTTAATTTATGTCGTATGCCACTATCTCTCCTAATAGTCAGAAAGGGTGGGCGGCCTATGCTCCTCCACGAGGAGTAACAGGCGTAAGTAAGTAATGGTCAGAAAACAGCTTAAATAACCTAAGTTACGTGATTGATTCGAGTACATTACTAATGATTTAGACCTGATAAACTGAAGACATTTATTCTTTGCTCAGATTAGATTAATATAAATACTAATTACGAAATATTTGAACGAATTTTCACCGTAATACTACAAATATCTCAAAAAGCGTCAGTTCGAATGTTGCGCTCAAGCTAGTTATCTTTAGTATTCGATAACTCTCTCTACTTATAATGTTGAATAGATCACGTGACTATAATTTACACTTGATCGACCGAGTAGCACAAACCATCATGCGAAGACGATCTAAATTATCTTAACAATAGGGTGGAATAAAATGTCTTTAAAACAGAATAGTCATCTTACGTATATGTGTTCAATAGACAACACTCATTTTAACCCTCGAACTAGTAAAAGTTCATTTTATACCAACTCTGCGTCAACATTTATATTTGAAATCAAATCAATATTGTCACAACTACGCACGTCTGTCTGTTGATTTTTATGACGCTTCGTCACGTATGCTTACCTGTAGATGACTTAATTTTTTTTCTATACAGCAACTTAATTAAGGTCTGTCCTGATATTTTATTGAATAGTAAGTATGGATCATCTATTGTTAATCCCACCAATATATTACCTTGTTTATATAAGATGGGTTAACAGATAAATTTCCCGGCTTAGTTTACCTTGTAGAAGCTATTTCTTCTACATCTGAGTATTTACGCAGGCCAAATCTCCTAGTAGTATTATAAATTTACTCAAGACTATTCAAAAGCCAGAACACCAGCTGTAGAGACAGTATTTTGTTAATGACTAATAAAAACCCTCAAGAGCGGAGATAGTAAGCAAACAGGGAAACGAGTGGGTGTGTATATCTATGTGAGTGTTAAAAATCCATATATATATTTATGAGTGTTAATCGATTGTGGATAAATTATTGCCTATGTTTACAACTAATGAGAGAGGAGAAAGATTATTGATGTATAGACACGCGTTCAATCAGACTCACACATAATCTTATGTGGTGGATTAAATGTCTAAGATACAGCAAGTAAACAAATAATAAAATAGTTGAATGGGCTTACTATAACCTACAAAAGTGTCTGTGATCTACAAACTTGCAGTGAATAATGAGTCATACCACTGGACCAGTGGGTCCAAAAGTACTTAAGATATAAGACCATTTTGATCACTGTTACAATTAGGTTCTTTCAATAATAGAATGACAAAGACACCGATTTAGTTTGGGCACTGTTCATGTGATATGAATACATTTGAAAAATTCATGAATGCTAACTAATTTTGGTGTTTTGTCCTCTTAGCTAGATGGTTTGGTCGTGGAGCTTTAATCGATATTCTGAATGACGTCATCAACACAAATTCAAGTAGAAGTAAAGTGTTAGTTTGTCCATATATGGCTCACAACTTATTCTGTAGATCTCGATCTTGATTGAATATTGTTGACTTCTTTATTTTGATTATATCTCCCATTGATTTGATTCTTAGTTCTATATCTGTTCATAATTTTTCTGATTGGTTAATAAATTGGATCGATTTCACAGTGTTTGTTGACTGCTGATTGACCTGAATGCCAAGCTTCTGAAAACTCTCCGGTGTTTTTAGAATTCTCTCTTTCCGAGATCTCAACATTTTTCCAGTCGAATGTGTGTTCAAAGTTGTCCACATGTATTGATATAAGCGAGAATATGCCATGGCGTTTGACCGCTCATTGATGTTCGTGCAGTCGAAGATGAAGTGGGCGTCCACTTTGTTCGATGTAGTGTTTTTCGCACATGGAATTCTTTATTTTGTAGATGATGATCGGTTTTCCTACTTTTGTCATTTCATCTTTTGGTTTGCACAGTATTGATTGAAGTGATTTTGTTGGTTTATGTGCTGCACCTATTCCACGAAGCTTCGACAATCTCGTAATTTTTGATATGCCTTTTACATATGGTAGGATGATCCGTTTGTTGGTTTCTGTGCTTGATTTTGTTTCTGCTGATGCATTTGGTTGGTATTTTTTGATGAAGTTGAGTGGGTAGCCATTCTTTTGAAAGGTAGTCTTGAGATATTTCTCTGCATTTTTCCGCACGGTAAGTGTGTGTTGCAGTGTGTCCTTCGCCTTCTTGGTTTGTGTATATTCGGCCTACCGTAGAATTGAAAGAGTACTTTTCCATTGGATTTGATTCTCCATTAATCTTACTTTGATATTTGTCCTGCTTTGACAAGCTTGTTTAAAGTCCTTGAGTTTTGGTTGTCTAACCTTTTGACTGAATTTGTGTCTGTTGGTTTGCCTACACTTTTATCCCCAAGTAATTCCTCAGCTTTCCTGATATATTCTTCGTTATCCATAATTACTGTAGTGTGTACTTTATTCACTGGAACTATGGCAATATATTCTCTAGTTCTGAGTTTATTTAAGACTTTTTGTTCTTGTGAAGTCAGTTGGATGTTATCTTTCTTCCGTCGAATTGACTAACTAATTTTCTAGCATTGAGTTTTCAGCGTAGCCTATAACTCGTCATTCTCATCATGTATAAACACATTATTACTCGGAGGTAACTAGGACGAAGCAACTAAACAACCTTTCCTGAATTTCAATGGTCTATTTATTTTCAATACACTAGATATACTTTCACAGTGTTTTTTTTCCTTTTGAGATTTTATGTAACATGTCTATGAGTTATAAGTTTGTGTATTCAACTTTAAACCGTATTGTTTGTGTTCAAGCTACTGATACCATTCCAGTTACTGAAATCAAAATGAGTGAAACTTGGTTTGAATCTATTCTTTATTAATATCACTGCTTTGTCTTTTGAGAAGTTGCACTTCAGCAAATAATAAAGATCAGTATGTCATTAAAAAGTTTACGATAAACAATTTGATTTTAAGCACATTATCATTTTGATAGAACAATGACAAGAATGTGTTAAATGATTGTGTTCTTTTCTTTTTTTCTTCTTCTTTCAAATACATATTCATTATCATTATACATCCATATCATTAACAATATGAAAAGGAATAGGACTACTGAATTATTTCATTTTAAAATTTATCATTGAATTCACTTAAGATAGAAAGGTATTTTCAGTACAATAAACTATTAGTTATAATGTATATACTCAGATACATATAAAAGATTTAACAAAATATTACTCCTCTGTTACACGTATTGACAAGCATTAACTTAAGAATAGTAAGTATAGTTATTTGTTAAGATCCTGTCAATTATATTATTTTAGTTAGTAAACAATATTCCGTATTTATTATTATTATTATTATTGAGTTTCATTGTACGAACTATTTTTATTATTCTCTTAACATTCCAAAGCTTATTCTATTTAATTAAAACAAAGAATGTTATTCACTCGGTGTTGTTTTACTCGTATCTTTCCATTGTTATTTAGGACTGAAATTGATCAGTCTCATGTTGGCATATGTGCATCCTGTGCGGTATGCCTTGATATAACCTTAAGTTACAAGCTTTTTAGGCAAAGATCGATGGTTTCTAGCAGTGGAATCCAGGCCGCGCGTTTCGTCCTATTTGGGACTCGTCAGCTGGATGTACCTGCATCCTAGAGTGAACATCAACTCTGGGATGCAGGTACATCCAGTTGACGATTCCCAAATAGGACGAAACGCGCGTCCTGGATTCCACTGTTAGCCACTATCCATCTTTGCTTAAAGAATGTTATCTTTAATAGAGAAACGAAAATTAGTACAATGTAAATAAATAAACATATTACTTACTATCTGTCATTTTTAATCTCTCTGTAAATGCATATATAGCTTGACTTAATTCAACTGCTCTTGTATCATTAGGTAATAGAAGACCCTTAAATCTTCCAGAAAATTATCCATAGCTATTTTATGCTGATATTGAATATCCTGTATAGATTTTTTTTTTAAAAAAAGAAAAATGAAAACATAAATACAAATAAGAATCATCAACTTGTTTACAGCTCTATACAAACAATCATTATTGTATATGCAAAGATGAATAGTGACAAGTAATAGAATACAGGATATATATATTTTTGTCCCACTTTGAGACTCATGAATTGAATGAACTTGTATTTCAATGAGTTGATGTTTACTACGAAACTTGGACTTTAATACCTTTCGCTTTAAACGTCTAGCACGTAATCCATTAAGCTAATGAATCCAGATAATCGCTAGGTTGTACGATGGGGATGAACTTTATGTTTTTCCAAGAAATGTAAATATTGCTAACTCCATGCTTTATCATACCAAAGTGTAAAGTAAATAAAATTCTTATTCAGTCAGTATTCGGAAAACATATTAATTGGTTAAAACTTTATTAAGTTACTAATGTCAGTCGAACGCTTAGTAACTCCTTAAGACATCCATAAATTTGTTGTATAACCACATAAGAGTCAATCCTGAAACACTATTACGATTACATACTACTTGTAAGTAGCTTCATTTTATAAACACAAAAGTTGTTGCAAGTGAACTGGTAGATGACTTTTATGATAAATAAGAAAGCATCTTGATCTGAAGAACCAATGAGAAGCCTAGTGAGAAGATCAATCGATGGAAGTCAGAAGTGACCTAAAGGACAAGTGCACTTTATTGACCAAGAAATGGATCAATTTTCTAAGCATTAGAGTGGTATTATATATATATGAATGAGTAATCATGCGTTTTAATCGGTAAGCCAATACACTTTCTCGCTCAAGTAGTCAGTTGAGGGAGGGGGTGAACGCGTAACACACTGTGTATCCGTACCAGATTTCGGACGCCACACATCATATAACACCTGCTTAAGCATGTACATGTATATTTCTTTCTCTTCAATGACAGTTTATTATTTCCCTCGGTTGTTTTTAGAAAGAAAGAATTAACCAGTAAACCTCAACTTTTACAAATCGCCATTTTAACATCCTTTATTAAGAGTCATTGTGTTCTGCTTATGATATTTTCTATCACTCAAATGTTGAATTCTAAATAAAAAAGAAAATGATCGTATATTTGTGAAAATAAGATTCGTTTATTAAAGTAACCTTGAATATTGATTATTTATATTCTTAAGCCAAATAAAGTTGGTTTTCGTAACTGGGACCCGATTAAAACAAAGAGAGAAATGGATACCCATTTCCTGCTTATATCAGAGATTTTAATAGTCCATACTCACAAACTAGCCAGGGGTCGTACTCAGGACCTTCATGTCACTTAGAGAATGTTTAACACTTGCTTAACACTACTCTAGGCGAGCATTCAATAGTTTACATTTCCAAGTCTAACAAAATCTTTATTTAGCCCGATATAAATGAAAATCAACTGAAATATTCTCAAAATAACTAAACAATAAAAAGAAGTAAACTAAAGAATAAAACTTACTCCATTTTCTGCCATTTGATTTAATAAACAACTGTAATATGATCTTAGTCGTTCACGTGATCTTTCCACAAGTAAATCCCATGATTCAATACATTTTTCACGAAGTCTAAAAAATGCAACAAGTTAATAAATTGTTTAATGATTGTTGAAAAATGTGTATAGACATGAATGGAATAATAACTGATTAGCTTGTAATATTTAACTTTCAACCATTTGATCACAGGTTCGAAATAGGTTCCATATTCTTTTAGTCTAACTGACTAATTAACATTATATAGTACAATGTACAAATTATTATGCTCTAAAACAAAGTTGACAAAGTCTATAGTTGATAAAATTAGAAACAATTTTTTTAATATCAAAATTGTAATCAAACACAAAGTGTTCTCAAGCATGGAGATATATACATGTTCAGTTCAGTTTAGTTGATATAGCATACCATAATCATTTTCAAATAATGTTAACTTTAAAAAAAATAATAATAAAACACTCAAATTTCATTATTTAGCTTCAATTGGAAAACAAACTATGCTTGAATGTTATTTCGTGAAGATCCTAAACATTCATTGCTATTGTAGTTTAGAAGTGAGAAAAAGTTTGTGCAACATGTACTCTAAGTTACGTAAATTGTTTACATTAGTTTTGAATAGCTTTGATCTGTAGCAATATATTGTTTGTTTGTTTGTTTGTTCTTGAAGCTTACAAGTGTTTTTGAAAAAGTTAATTTTCAAATGTGTCTATTATATACCTAGATATTATTTAGAATGAAAGAACATATTTCAGCTTAGTTCTACAATTCACTTGGTATTGTTCGGCTTGTATCTTCCCATTGAGGTTTAAGACTGCAGTTAGTCAGTCTGTTATTGGCATATGTGCATGCTGTGCGTATGCCTCGATATTACCTTAATTCACAAGCCAAACAATAACAAGTGAATTTTAATTCACCCCATTGCACAAGCAAGTGGCTATCAGGACTCAGTAGCTGAGTGGATAACGCGATGGCGTTTGGAGCGAATGGTACTGGGTTCGAGTCCCAGAGTGAACAACAACTCTGAGATGCAGGTACATCCAGTTGACGAGTCCCAAATACGACGAGACGCGCGTCCTGGATTCCACTGCTAGCCACTATCCACCATTGCCTACAATTAGTTCTACAATGGTTGAAAGCTTTATCTTTGAATATTCAATCAACTGTAATCACTCAACTAATCTATATGCTGAAATATATGTTTGATTAGGGAATTGGGCTAAATCTACTCAGGTATTTCCATATCTGTATTGTTAAAACAATAGAAGCTTTTTAATTATCCATGAGATAATGCCTGAACTTCCTGTATATAAGAAGTATGTCTTATCTTTGTATTTAACATGATTTAGGCTTACCTATTATTATTATTATTATTATTATTATTATTATTATTAGTAGTAGTAGTAGTAGTAGTAGTAGTAGTAGTAGTAGTAGTAGTAGTAGTAGTAGTAGTAGTAGTAGTAGTAGTAGTAGTAGTAGTAGTAGTAGTAGTAGTAGTAGTAGTAGTAGTAGTAGTAGTAGTAGTAGTAGTAGTAGTAGTAGTAGTAGTAGTAGTAGTAGTAGTAGTAGTAGTAGTAGTAGTAGTAGTAGTAGTAGTAGTAGTAGTAGTAGTAGTAGTAGTAGTAGTAGTAGTAGTAGTAGTAGTAGTAGTAGTAGTAGTAGTAGTAGTAGTAGTAGTAGTAGTAGTAGTAGTAGTAGTAGTAGTAGTAGTAGTAGTAGTAGTAGTAGTAGTAGTAGTAGTAGTAGTAGTAGTAGTAGTAGTAGTAGTAGTAGTAGTAGTAGTAGTAGTAGTAGTAGTAGTAGTAGTAGTAGTAGTAGTAGTAGTAGTAGTAGTAGTAGTAGTAGTAGTAGTAGTAGTAGTAGTAGTAGTAGTAGTAGTAGTAGTAGTAGTAGTAGTAGTAGTAGTAGTAGTAGTAGTAGTAGTAGTAGTAGTAGTAGTAGTAGTAGTAGTAGTAGTAGTAGTAGTAGTAGTAGTAGTAGTAGTAGTAGTAGTAGTAGTAGTAGTAGTAGTAGTAGTAGTAGTAGTAGTAGTAGTAGTAGTAGTAGTAGTAGTAGTAGTAGTAGTAGTAGTAGTAGTAGTAGTAGTAGTAGTAGTAGTAGTAGTAGTAGTAGTAGTAGTAGTAGTAGTAGTAGTAGTAGTAGTAGTAGTAGTAGTAGTAGTAGTAGTAGTAGTAGTAGTAGTAGTAGTAGTAGTAGTAGTAGTAGTAGTAGTAGTAGTAGTAGTAGTAGTAGTAGTAGTAGTAGTAGTAGTAGTAGTAGTAGTAGTAGTAGTAGTAGTAGTAGTAGTAGTAGTAGTAGTAGTAGTAGTAGTAGTAGTAGTAGTAGTAGTAGTAGTAGTAGTAGTAGTAGTAGTAGTAGTAGTAGTAGTAGTAGTAGTAGTAGTAGTAGTAGTAGTAGTAGTAGTAGTAGTAGTAGTAGTAGTAGTAGTAGTAGTAGTAGTAGTAGTAGTAGTAGTAGTAGTAGTAGTAGTAGTAGTAGTAGTAGTAGTAGTAGTAGTAGTAGTAGTAGTAGTAGTAGTAGTAGTAGTAGTAGTAGTAGTAGTAGTAGTAGTAGTAGTAGTAGTAGTAGTAGTAGTAGTAGTAGTAGTAGTAGTAGTAGTAGTAGTAGTAGTAGTAGTAGTAGTAGTAGTAGTAGTAGTAGTAGTAGTAGTAGTAGTAGTAGTAGTAGTAGTAGTAGTAGTAGTAGTAGTAGTAGTAGTAGTAGTAGTAGTAGTAGTAGTAGTAGTAGTAGTAGTAGTAGTAGTAGTAGTAGTAGTAGTAGTAGTAGTAGTAGTAGTAGTAGTAGTAGTAGTAGTAGTAGTAGTAGTAGTAGTAGTAGTAGTAGTAGTAGTAGTAGTAGTAGTAGTAGTAGTAGTAGTAGTAGTAGTAGTAGTAGTAGTAGTAGTAGTAGTAGTAGTAGTAGTAGTAGTAGTAGTAGTAGTAGTAGTAGTAGTAGTAGTAGTAGTAGTAGTAGTAGTAGTAGTAGTAGTAGTAGTAGTAGTAGTAGTAGTAGTAGTAGTAGTAGTAGTAGTAGTAGTAGTAGTAGTAGTAGTAGTAGTAGTAGTAGTAGTAGTAGTAGTAGTAGTAGTAGTAGTAGTAGTAGTAGTAGTAGTAGTAGTAGTAGTAGTAGTAGTAGTAGTAGTAGTAGTAGTAGTAGTAGTAGTAGTAGTAGTAGTAGTAGTAGTAGTAGTAGTAGTAGTAGTAGTAGTAGTAGTAGTAGTAGTAGTAGTAGTAGTAGTAGTAGTAGTAGTAGTAGTAGTAGTAGTAGTAGTAGTAGTAGTAGTAGTAGTAGTAGTAGTAGTAGTAGTAGTAGTAGTAGTAGTAGTAGTAGTAGTAGTAGTAGTAGTAGTAGTAGTAGTAGTAGTAGTAGTAGTAGTAGTAGTAGTAGTAGTAGTAGTAGTAGTAGTAGTAGTAGTAGTAGTAGTAGTAGTAGTAGTAGTAGTAGTAGTAGTAGTAGTAGTAGTAGTAGTAGTAGTAGTAGTAGTAGTAGTAGTAGTAGTAGTAGTAGTAGTAGTAGTAGTAGTAGTAGTAGTAGTAGTAGTAGTAGTAGTAGTAGTAGTAGTAGTAGTAGTAGTAGTAGTAGTAGTAGTAGTAGTAGTAGTAGTAGTAGTAGTAGTAGTAGTAGTAGTAGTAGTAGTAGTAGTAGTAGTAGTAGTAGTAGTAGTAGTAGTAGTAGTAGTAGTAGTAGTAGTAGTAGTAGTAGTAGTAGTAGTAGTAGTAGTAGTAGTAGTAGTAGTAGTAGTAGTAGTAGTAGTAGTAGTAGTAGTAGTAGTAGTAGTAGTAGTAGTAGTAGTAGTAGTAGTAGTAGTAGTAGTAGTAGTAGTAGTAGTAGTAGTAGTAGTAGTAGTAGTAGTAGTAGTAGTAGTAGTAGTAGTAGTAGTAGTAGTAGTAGTAGTAGTAGTAGTAGTAGTAGTAGTAGTAGTAGTAGTAGTAGTAGTAGTAGTAGTAGTAGTAGTAGTAGTAGTAGTAGTAGTAGTAGTAGTAGTAGTAGTAGTAGTAGTAGTAGTAGTAGTAGTAGTAGTAGTAGTAGTAGTAGTAGTAGTAGTAGTAGTAGTAGTAGTAGTAGTAGTAGTAGTAGTAGTAGTAGTAGTAGTAGTAGTAGTAGTAGTAGTAGTAGTAGTAGTAGTAGTAGTAGTAGTAGTAGTAGTAGTAGTAGTAGTAGTAGTAGTAGTAGTAGTAGTAGTAGTAGTAGTAGTAGTAGTAGTAGTAGTAGTAGTAGTAGTAGTAGTAGTAGTAGTAGTAGTAGTATTTTTTTTTTCATTTTCCATTGATTGTTGTGTGATTAGACATGTATCTGTAAATTTGTAATGCATCTTCACAATATTTAATATGTGTTTGATATTTAGCACTTTCCTGCTCAGTTAGTCAGTGAACGATATATGTAACAGTATAATTTTCATTGCAGATTTGATTTCAAATACTAATCTGTAGTTTATTGGCTCGTTTCATCCACTAAGTTGGGATACGCCACAATAGCGTGTTCACAAATGATATAAGTTAGTAATTTTAGACGATTAGAATGAAGTCTCTAATGAAAATTACACTCTTATATGAAGTATTGATAAGCTAAATGAACGGGAAAGTAGTCGGAAATGCTAGATATGGCACTTTTATTGAACACTGTTAGAGGAAGATTATCCTCACACATTTTCACCTATATATATAATACAGAGTCCTCAATTTCAAGGAAAGTATATTCGTCAAAAAAATCTGGGATACAATCATTTATTTGATTTCTTTCAATAACCATATTATTTCGTTTTGTCAACCTTCATTTTCAAAATCGGGACTCATCTTCTCTGACATTATCATTCATACAGTTTGTTGGTATTTAGAATTAAACTGACGTGAAATTTGTCACAGTTACAGATGGTTGCCTTTTTTATCGTTATGTGATATCAACTAAGGAAATTGTGTAAATCTATGAAGCATCGATCGGTTACATTTGATCCCGTTTTCCCATTCTATGTATGTATAGATTCTGAATCAATAATGTGATCAAACCAAGAACTTATACTCTATCATTTTACTCTATGAATAAGCAACATATTAAAAACTAATAGTTTTAATTGTTCAATATTACTTGTTTATGTGAAATGATTTAAGTTGAAAATAATCATGTTCAAGGTTATTTGTTTATAACACAGTAATTGAATCCCAACACATTAACTGGTAATTATTAAACGTGAAAATGATAAATTTTAAGTACCAAAAGAATTTGCATTGACAAATATGATCAGTTAAGATGAAGTATTTAGTCAGTATTTTATTGTTACTTTTACTACTCTTCGAGTTTCCATAAATTTCATTTTTGAATTTCCTTATGTAAATAGTCATTACTAACTGATAATTATCGTTAACGTTTACTGATATGTTGTATAAACACCTTGTGGAAGGAATTATGTAACACTCATATACATGAAGTGTTCAATAGATAAGATACAAAGGTTTTTAATCATGTATCTAACTAAACGTACGACCAATTGCATTGTATAGTGTATAGCTAGTTAGTGGTAACTACCACTTGGAGGTCCTCAGATGCTTGAAGGATCATATGTGATCAAATGTATGGTGTTGATGGGTCCTTGCTACATAACGACAAATGTACTGCTCATATAGTAGTAATTAGCACCCTCCAGCCAAATTAAGTTTAGAGTCCTGAAACTTAGTTTTCTCGTGAAATGAAAAGGGAGGAAGACGTCAAAGTAATGTTAGGAGAATGGATTCTCAAACGATATGGAATCTGAAGAGCTTGATCTCTGAGAACTGTCAATCATTTATCGAACAACAGAAATGAAGAAGTAGTAGGTAAATTTCTACGAATGCGATGTATTATGAAGAGAATAAGACGTGTTTTTGTAAAATTATGTTTTAATGAAATCAGCGTGTTTATTGGACTGACTACGTGGTGACTTAATATGAGTAAAAAAATAAGGAATAATTTTCATCACACTCACATCACTGATCGTTTTACAGCTTCTAAATCTGGATCACTTATCCATAAACAAACAGATGGTATTTTCACTATACCATTATTTGTTTGTACTGTCCAAAAGTGTTGATCATCTTTATTCGATATAACGCGTACTTCTTCACCTTCTTTTAATTCATAATTTGGTCCTGTCAATGAAGTTAACATACGAGCCATAACTGGACTAGCGGATTCTGTATTAGTACTCAGACCATCAATAACACCGCCTAGTCTTAAGTGAACAGGGACAATACGTCGGCTTTCTTCAAGCAAATTGCCTGATCGACCCCATAAATGAATCATGTGATTAAGATGTTCCTAATAATAAGAAAAATAATAACAAACATTAATTTTTTCTTATATAAATTTAGAATATTATTAAATTCTTTAAAGTTAAAGAAAATCATTGTCTTGAGTGTTTATGCATGTTTTTGGCAAAAAATGTATACATTGAATGATAAGTTCAAATGAGCTGTATGTTACAAGTGGATGAATTTATTCGATTTCCGTTATTGAGATGTAATTAAGAGAATATCCTCAATGCAAGTTTTCCATAGTCTAGCACTCATTAATAATATATATACATATTTAGAACTCCGCCTGGAGTCCCTCCGGGGGCTACTGCCGGTCCCAAGCCCGGATAAAGGAGGAGGGTTGGGCATGGGGTTAGCGTCCCCATCCCGTAGAAAACTAACTCGCTAAAAAACGCTAACCAGAAAAAATTATTCAAACCTTTTAAACTCTGCCCTGGGAGTCAGAAGGTCTTCATTTAGAAGAATTATGACGCCTCATGATGAAAGCCGAATTCCTTCGGAAGTTACGAGGCCGATGCCCCTTCTGACAACCAGAGCAACCATTTATTTAGGTACATGGAATGTTCGTACAATGTGGGACACCGGGAGAGCCTTCCAAATTGCTGCAGAAATGAGAAGATACAACCTAGAGGTACTTGGGATCAGTGAAACACATTGGACACAAGTTGGACAACAACGACTAACTACAGGAGAGCTCCTGTTATACTCCGGCCATGAAGAAGAAAATGCACCACATACACAAGGAGTTGCATTGATGCTGTCCAAACAAGCGCAAAATGCGCTTATAGGATGGGAATCTCATGGACCAAGGATCATCAAAGCCTCGTTCAAAACAAAGAAAGAGGGTATTTCAATGAACATCATCCAATGCTATGCGCCTACCAACGACTACAATGAAGACGCTAAAGATCAATTCTACAATAGGCTGCAGTCAATCGTCGAGAAGTGCCCAACAAAGGACCTGACCATTCTGATGGGAGATTTCAACGCCAAGGTTGGAACGGACAACACTGGATATGAAGACATCATGGGACGACACGGACTGGGAGAAAGGAACGAAAATGGTGAGAGATTTGCAAATCTATGTGCCTTCAATAAACTGGTCATAGGCGGCACCATATTCCCACATAAACGCATACACAAAACCACATGGACTTCACCGGATCACACTACACAAAACCAAATCGACCATATTTGCATCAACAAAACGTTCAGGAGGACTATAGAGGACGTGAGAACCAAGAGAGGAGCTGATATAGCATCAGATCATCACTTGCTGGTCGCCAAGATGAAATTGAAACTCAAGAAGCACTGGACAACGGGGCGGACAATATCACAAAAGTTCAATACGGCCTTTCTTCAGGATACTAACAAACTCAACAAATTCAAGATAGTCCTCAGCAACAAGTTCCAGGCCTTTCATGATCTACTCAATGGAGAAGGAACTACTGTGGAGAGCAACTGGAAGGGGATCAAAGAGGCAATCACTTCAACATGTCATGAGGTCCTGGGTCACAAGAAGCACCATCACAAGGAATGGATCACTGTTGATACACTGGATAAGATTCAAGAAAGAGGAACAAGAAGGCAGCAATCAATACCAGTCGAACAAGAGCAGAAAAAGCCAAGGCACAAGCTGAATACACAGAAGTAAACAAACAAGTGAAGAGGAGCATCAGAACCGACAAACGTAAATATGTGGAAGATTTAGCAACGACGGCGGAAAAGGCTGCAAGAGAAGGAAACATGAGACAACTGTATGACACGACAAAGAAACTCTCTGGAAATCGCCGCAAACCAGAACGACCAGTGAAAAGCAAGGAAGGCGAGGTAATCACCAACATTGAAGAACAACAAAACAGGTGGGTAGAACACTTCAAAGAACTCTTGAATCGACCAGCTCCACTGAACCCACCCAACATCGAAGCAGCACCCACGGACCTCCCAATCAATGTTGGCCCACCAACAATTGAAGAAATCAGCATGGCCATCAGACAAATCAAGAGTGGCAAAGCAGCAGGACCGGACAACATTCCAGCAGAGGCACTAAAAGCAGACGTAGCGGCAACTGCAAGGATACTCCACATTCTCTTCAATAAGATTTGGGATGAGGAACAAGTACCAAAAGACTGGAAAGAAGGACTTCTGATCAAAATACCGAAGAAAGGCGATCTGTTCTCTCAATACCGGGAAAAGTCTTCAACAGGGTATTGTTAAACAGGATGAAGGACTGCGTAGACGCCCAACTTCGTGACCAACAGGCAGGATTCCGTAAGGATAGATCGTGTACAGACCAAATCGCAACTCTACGGATCATTGTGGAACAATCAATTGAATGGAATTCATCACTCTACATCAACTTCATTGACTACGAAAAGGCATTTGATAGCGTGGACAGAACAACACTATGGAAACTTCTTCGACACTACGGCGTGCCTCAGAAGATAGTCAATATCATACAGAGTTCATATGATGGATTACACTGCAAAATCGTGCATGGAGGACAGTTGACAAAGTCGTTCGAAGTAAAGACCGGTGTCAGGCAAGGTTGCTTACTCTCACCCTTTCTCTTTCTCCTGGTGATCGACTGGATCATGAAGACGTCAACATCTGAAGGGAAGCACGGGATACAATGGACATCTAGGATGCAGTTGGACGATCTAGACTTCGCAGATGATCTGGCCCTTCTATCCCAAACGCAACAACAGATGCAGGAGAAGACGACCAGTGTGGCAGCAGCCTCAGCAGCAGTAGGTCTCAATATACACAAAGGGAAAAGCAGGATTCTCCGATACAACACAGCATGCACCAATCCAATCACAATTGACGGAGAAGATTTGGAAGATGTAAAAACCTTTACATATTTGGGCAGCATCATTGATGAACAGGGTGGATCTGATGCAGATGTGAAGGCGCGGATCGGCAAAGCAAGAGCAGCATATTTACAACTGAGGAACATCTGGAACTCAAAGCAACTGTCAACCAACACCAAGGTCAGGATTTTCAATACAAATGTCAAGACAGTTCTACTGTATGGGGCAGAAACCTGGAGAACTACGAAAGCCATCATCCAGAAAATACAGGTGTTTATTAACAATTGTCTACGCAAAATACTTCAGATCCATTGGCCGGACACTATTAGCAACAACGTACTGTGGGAGAGAACAAACCAGATCCCAGCGGAGGAAGAAATCAGGAAGAAGCGCTGGAAGTGGATAGGACACACATTGAGGAAAGCACCCAACTGCGTCACAAGACAAGCCCTCACATGGAATCCTCAAGGCCAAAGGAAAAGAGGAAGACCAAAGAACACATTACGCCGGGAAATGGAAATAGACATGAAAAAAATGAACAAGAATTGGATGGAACTAGAAAAGAAGGCCCAGGACAGAGTGGGTTGGAGAATGCTGGTCAGCGGCCTATGCTCCATTGGGAGTAACAGGCGAAAGTAAGTAAGTAAGTATATATCTTTAGGCGTTTTTTTTAGTGTTGAGGTGATAATTTCTAAACAACCTTTGAGCAACACTAAATTGACCTTGAGAAAGTTCACCTACTAACTAGTGCTAAATTGGGGTCACAAATCAGTATGAGGAATTAGAATCATGATTTACAGTTGATGGTTAAGGTTAAGAACCAGATATAGGATTTTTATCACGCATTAACATCAGCTAAAATGCCAGAACTCTATTTAGCCAAATGGATAAATGAATTTCGCGCGATAATCCAATACCTGTTATCCTAAATCTAATTAGTTCGTCCATAAATTACAGTCTCGCCGTGGTAATATCATTAAACGTATTTTTCAAGAACTTTGGTTTTGTTTGAATGAGTACCCATTCCATGTATTTTCGATGGTTTGGCTTTGCCTGATCTACTGTTTGTTGAACTTATTCTTAACTAGGTCCTTTTGATCCTTAAAGATGTAATGGTACTGACTAATCATTTTTGGTGTATCAGACTCTTTTTTTTTCATATATTAAAGCCGCTCTATTGAAGGGAAATGTATGTTCACCTGACTGATAATTCCGAAATTGTGAATGTATAGTTATGAGTGTTATTATATACCACTTTTGTTTACGGTATCTATTGTTACTGAATACCTTTCACTGTTGACATGTATTATAACCTGTTAGTTATCTCATAAGGCATTGGTTAACAACCTATTCATTCGACTTGATAGTACATTACTTCAAATTTACTATTTTGAAACTTTCCCCAAAGAAATTAGCTTTCGTTTCTATTGAGACGTTATATAAATACTGATCTAACTTGTCAATAATTTTCCTCATAAACTAAAATCAGCTAAGGTACCCGTTTACAAGGGAAGGTTGTAAGTGCATATTGTAGAACAGTCAGTAGTCAAGAGTAATAAGCCAAACCAATTGCCCAGTGTCTTTTGATCCTAGCTAATTATCTTACTAAATTCATTTCATGATGTAAATTATCTTCAAAACACTAGTCAGCATCATATAGTTTAATAAAGTTAAGCAGCAGATAGCAGGAAAATTCAGTTCTAAATAGGATTAAATATGCGTTTTAGATTCCACTGCTAATAATTATCCAACTTGACTAAAAACTTTTGATTGATAAGAAATATCAATTGTTGAGATCATGAGTCAATTGAAGCTCGACCACCATGAAAAACCTAGGAGCACTGGATGGCCGACTCGTCCTATTGTGGGCATCTTCAGCAGTGCACATCCACGACCTCACCTCGCGAGATTCGAAATCAGGATCTACTGGTCTCGCGCTCGAGCACTTAACCACTAGACCACTGAGCCAGTATCCAACGGTGTTAATGTCTAACTTCAACTAATCCGTGAAATTGAGTGACACATCCACCATTGTCATCAGTGAGTTACTATCTCACAACTGACACGGTTGAACTCCACTGGTCACTGTTTCTCACTAGAACTTCAGGAAATACCTCTTGAAGCCAGTCACTAGTGAGCATATGTTGATTAGTATCCCGTGAGGCGAGGTCATGAATGTGTACCTCTGAGGAGTCCCACAATAGGACGAAGCAGTCATCCAGTGCTTCCAGGTTTTCCATGGTGGTCTAGCTTCAATTGACTCATGATCCCAACTATTGAAATTACTAAAATCTCTACAAAATCTTCGTTCGATATGAATAGAAATATTGAAGCAATTCATCCAGGATTTATATGTGCCAATAGAGACTGACTAGTTGGTCTTTAACAACAACAACAACAACACTGAGAAAGTACAAACATTATCAGTAGTATTATATATTCATAAAAAAATGTTATATTCTTTGTAATAATAACAATAATAACTCCAATACACATTTATCTAAATCATTCATATAATCATCTTATATCATTAGTCTCTTCTTAGAAAAATAGTGTTGTTCCCAACATTCTCTTAAACATTCTAATCTCATACACATTTTAATTATATAACAGCAGGGATTATTATTATTATTACTATTATTATTATTACTCCTACGACTAATTCCTTTAACAAAAAAAATGCACATTCCATTATTTCTTAACATTCCAATTACAAGTAATGATTCATACTATTTTTTAAAGAGAAAATATTTCAGTAGAAGTCATGAGCTAAACAAATCAATCTAAATGATAAATTACTACTTTCGAAAAAAAAAAACGGTTTCGAATGTCAAAATTTTGTCGTTAAGCTTATTACAATTTTTGTTGTCAATGTTCCTTTCATTTATCCGTAATTAAAAAAAATTATAAAAAACAGAATGAGCAAACAATAATGCTATACCATATTAATCATGAAAAATGACACATACACACACACACACATGTTCAAGTTTTGTCGTAATTGCTGGGATTCGTTTCTTTCCAAATAATAATAATAATGATCCAACTTCAACGTTAGAAAATAAATTCGTAGCTTTCAATTATTAAGAAATCAAAATTATTTAATGGTCTAATCGATGCAGTGAAGCTTAAAGATAAATTGAATCCATGTAAGGAGTTAAGATCACTATCTATATTTCAGTGTTTGTTTTGAAGTAACCAGATAGAATAATTTGGTTTTATATTAAAGGATACAATTCATAAGTTGGATGTATATTCTATGACTTTGCTATCAAGTTATAATCGTTTAAATCAGGATATGATTTATAATCTACCGTGTAAACATTTAATTATTTACTTTATGGTGTAATGCTTGTAATTTAGGACAATATAGAGATAATCTGTACACGATGTACATATGTCAATAAGAGACAGTCCTAAAAATCAATGTGAAAATTCAAATAAACAATACAAAATGCATTGACACTTCGCCCCATTGCACAAGCTAGTGGCTATCAGGACTCCGTAGCTAAGTGGATGGTACTGGGTCGGAGTCTCGGAGTGGATATCAACTCTGGAATGCAAGTACATCCACTTGTGAGTCCCAAATAGAACGAAACGCGCATCTTATATTCGACTGCTAAACTGCTTAATTTAATTGTATCATAAGTTGGTTTATCTAAATAAATATTAAATAGTGTTTTAGTCAAAATTAATCTCATAGTATTATATAAACTGTATTGAATATAACTACAAAAAGAAGTTGATTACTTACTCTCAATTCATTGGCCAAAATTGTACAATTTTTCAAAGTTGCAGGTAATGCTCTTGAATTTCTCGGTTCTGTCATTCGTACACGTGCTTTCAAACTGGCTTCAGCTTCATTAACTGCATGATGAAACTGTAATGAAATATAAAATAAATTGATGATGGTATTAGAAAATTCGCTATATTAGGATTTGATTAATGAATTTATGTCAGAATTGAGTATCTGTAGTAATTGACAACATTTCTCTCACGACCCTGATATGAAATCAAACTTACTATCTTCACAATTCGTTGTTTTGAAGCTATCACTCAACAGTTCTGAGGGTTCTTTGGTTTTCATCGTATGCCGAATCGTAACTCAGTACTACTGAGTAGTGCTCCCGGTAAAAAAATAACATCAATCTTTAACAGTACTGCAGCCCGATGTCACTTTGTTATGAAAATCACATACTCAGAATGATTAAATTAACCTAAACAAATTATGAGTATTAAATTTGACTTATTAGCATAGAAATGTTAATAATATCTACTCTTAGATAGTGGTTGGAGGTAGTCAACACGAAACCCTGCACCCGCGTTTCATGCTACTTGACACTCGTCATCATAGTGTGCTTGTAATCTTGAGGGAGCTGGTGCTCCCTTACGGATTCGATCCCAAGTCACGCAGCTCCACAATCAGGGACGTTACCATTGGGCTATTCGAGCCGCGACCGACCTCCATTTGGACTGAGATGTGATCAAAATTGGTTGATCACTGGGTGGTGATCAATGTCACATGTGTCAAGTTCTTCTTAGTGCAGATCGAATGCTATCGACCAAGTTGCAATATGGCCACTAATCTAGGTGACTCTACGACTTGGTCGATAGCATTCGATCTACACTGAGAAGGAATTGACACACACGACACTGATCACCACCCAGTGATCAATCAATTGTGACTATCTACTCTTATTGATATCATGAACCAAAGTTGGTCAACCATTGAAAATCTGGGAACACTGGGGTTCAACCATAGCGCATGTGGGGAATTTACCTATCGAAGACAACTGAGAATGGTCGCACAAAATCTTCAGTCAATTGTGTTAAGGAGATCAAAAGTACTCCTCGAAAAAGTTTAGACGGGCCATGAAAACTCTGGGAAACATTTTATTCAGTCAGCGTTGAATAGAAGTATCTTAGAAACCTCTAGCAAATGAAGAGTCACATGTTTAATTGGATGATTGCCTATTCTGCTACTATGTTTAGTATGGTCCCAGAACCTTCCAGAAGACCAAGACCATCTGAAATATTATAAATACCCTCTAATTTCTGTACATAGACCAACCTTGGAATAAAATGTTTGTTTCACACTTCACGCCTATTCTCTAATGTTCAAGTTGTCGTATAGACTTAACTTGAGGTTATTAGAAGACCATAGGAAACTGAATCAAGGATTTGGTTAGAAAACGTATCAGATTAAATTTAGGGATGTAAAATTACCGTATACCAGGTCGGTAGTCTAGAGCTTAAACATTCACACGTAAGACCAAAGTATCTGGTTTCGATTCCTGGTTCCATAGTCATGGAAGTTGACTGCTGAAAATGTTCATACTAGAACAAAATGGCAATCTAGTATTTGCCAATATTCAATAGTTGTTTCTACAGATTTATATGTGTATCATATTTAACTTATAAATATATTATATTTACCGTAACCCTGGTTATATTTTATATAATAATATAACATTTTTTCATGATATCAGAATCATTAAAAAAGTGACATTCTTTTACTTTTTTAAACTAACAATGCACATATTATTCTATTGTTAACCTTAGATTATTTAAACCTTGGGTCAAATGACTGGCAGAATTTCTGTAATTTATTGATACACAACAAATAACAACATTTTCATGATAATAATATCTGTGTAAATCATTAGAATGAATTCCTTGAAGTAATTATCAACCCCTACAGAATAGTAAATAAGTTAAGTTAAACTATTAAAGTTGTAATTTTTAAGAAGATAAGAAAATCATCATACTTGAATGACAGTACATCATAGAATGATACCATCTTCATATGTTACTTTAAGTTGAGATTATTTATATGAAATAATAATAACCGTAATTAGCAAGAAGTTTAAATTATTTATTCTGGTTAGCGTTTTTTTGGAAAGGTTGTTTTCTACGGGATTAGGTTGCTGACTCCATCCCTAAGGCTCTTACTTTACTCGGGCTTGGGACCGATAGTAATTCTAGAAAAGCTATAGGCTATATAGGACTCACTATGTCACAACACGTAGGACCAGATAGATCATATTTGTATCACTAAAAAATTCCGAAGGACAATGGAAGATGTGAGAACCAGGAGAGGAGCTGATATAGCTTCAGATCACTACCTAGTTGTGGCCAATTTAAAACCGAAGCTAAAGCAACACTGAACAACAGGGGAAACAGTATCACAAAAGTTCAATATAGCATTCCTTCGAGATACTAACAAACTCAACCAATTCAAGATAACTCTCAACAATAGGTTTCAAGCCTTACAAGATCTACTGACAGAAGAAGAAACTTCCATGGAGGACAAACTGGAAAGGGATCAGAAAAGCATTAACTTCAACGTGTCAAGAGGTTCTGTGCCTCAAGAAGCATCATCATAAGGAATGGATCTCTATAGAAACACTGGACAAGATCAAGGAAAGGAAGGACAAGAAAACAACAATTAACAACAACCGAACACGAGCAGAGAAAGTCCAAGCACAAGCTGAATACACAGAAGCAAATAAGCGAGTGAAGAAGAGCATTAGAGCCGACAAGCAGAAATACGTGGAAGAGCTAGCAACGAAAGCAGAAAAAGCTGCAAGAGAAGGAAATATGAAACAGCTTTACGATACAACGGAGAAACTAGCTGGAGAATACAGTAAACCAGAGAGACCGTTCAAGGACAAAGAAGGCAAGCTAAATACTGAGATTTAAGAACAGCGGAACAGATGGGTAGAGTACTTTGAGGAACTCTTGAATAGACCAGCTCCACTGAATCCACCGTACAGAGAAACATCAAACACAGACCTTACTACAGATCTCAGTCCGCCAACAACCGCAGAAATCAGAATGGCCATCAGACAAATCAGGAGTGGGAAAGTAGTAGGATCTGACAATATACCAGCCGAAGTACTGAAGTCAGACATAAAAGTAACTGTAAAGATATTCCATGTTCCACTCAGGAAGATTTAAGAGGAAGAACAAGTGCCGATGGACTGGAAAGAAGGATGCCTCATCAAGATGCAAACGAAAGGAGATCTGAATAAATCTGAGAACTACAGAAGTATCATACTACAAACAGTACCAGGAACATTTTCAATAGTGTTGCTGAATTGGATAAATGATTCAGTAGACGCCCAGCTACTACATCACGAGGCAAGTGTTAACTTGGAATCCTGAAGTGACACGGAATAAAGGAAAACCAAAGAATAGATTGCGTTGGGAATCGGAAGCAGACGTCACAAAAATGAATGGTGACTGGAAAGAACTGGAAAGGATTGTTAAGGACAGAGTTGGCTAAAGAATGCTGGTAGGCGGCCTATGCTTCTCAACGAGGGTTAACAGGTGTAAGTATTTAAGTAAGTAATTTTTAAGCAAGTATATATATATATATATATATATATATATATATATATATATATATATATATATATATATTAATTTAACCAATTCCATAGATTAAATCCCAATGAAAATATATGATTAATTGACTAAACGTTATGGCGCATTTTGTCTGACATAAAATGAGTGAGATTTCTCTACAGTTTATCCTCATGGCTCAATAATTATGTTTGTTACTGTGACACTAAGCACTATTCAGTTACCTGAAGATTTTAAATAAAAAGATTTAAAACTGACGAAAATATTTAGCGGTTTCTATCACATGTTGTTCAATAATCATTGATTGTAATTAACTAATTCTATGGTGTTAATCTAATAATACTCAAAATGATTGGGACATTTTTATGACATGTACCCATTATACACTGCGACCAAATGATTGTGAAATTAATAATAATACTAGTGTAGTCACAGATTAACCCAGTCAATTAACCAAGCAAAAAATTGTTCCATAAATATCTATCAGCCATACATTATGTAAGAGTTAAGAATTAATACTTGTATATGTAAATCTATCGTGAAGTTAGATTTAAAATCACATGACAGGCATCGCACTATTATTACAAAAATTAACTGATTGCATTATTAGTGATAATCTAGCTAATTATTAAATGTCTTTCCATCAGAGATTAAAATTCAATAATCATACGGATTTAAACACTAAACTATGAATCTAAACAAAAGGTTTACAACCCAAAAACAAACCCGTCGGATGATGAATAAGATCTAAGTAAACATTTAGTCTCCATAAAACTTAAGTTAATGGTTTTTAGAAGGTTATTTTGTGAAAAAAAGAGTGATATTGTTCGCCGAAGTTATTTCAGCTTACAGTTTTTACTGGAAACGAATTTTGTTTAAACAATTATTAAAGCCAAAGTGGCACTCGACAGCGATTCGGTTTTAAAAGAACAAGCCTTAATAATACACGGCTATAATCTATCCAAAGACAAAACCCAGGAAATGTAAGTCTTCTCGAGAGCACGCTACTTTTAGACCACTGGGTTTTCACCTGGTGATTCTTACTTCCATGGTCAGTCACTTCATGAAGCTCGAAATAACTGGGTTCGGCCTTTGATATAACTGTAAGTGAGCACTGCTAAGGAGTTCCACATTTGAATGAATCAACTACTCAGTGATTTCTGGTTTTTAAATAGTCTTCCACTTAAAATCGGTCGATTATATTAACTACAACGAGTGGGAACTTCCTATAAACCTTATTTGTTAAAAATTTACTTCATTTTTGATCGTCGTCTTTTTACTGTGATCAGGGTGTCCAAAAATTTTATGTAGAACGTTCGGTTACTTGTAAATAGATAAAAAAAGTTAAGAAAATATTTTGTCAGAAATCTTTCTCAAGAGTTACTCAACTAACTGTTTTTAGGAGAAATCAGTCACTTTTGTGGATTCAGAAAGAGTGATTAGAAATCAGTGTTGTTCTCTATGCACAATACCTTTCAATTTATATCAGTATATTTTATATTAACAGAGAAAAGATCCAGTAAACAAATGATGATATTCGGAAATAGAAGACAGAATAGTCGAGAAAGAATGCGTTTTTACAAATGCCATTGTATTAATATACATCAAGAATTATTAGTGTGCACTCAAGCAATAGAGAAATTACTTTCAAGATCACAAAGGACATTTAAATTTTATAATCCCTGAGGTTTTCGCCAACCTCACAATGTTTTTCTGACTGTTCCTATATAAGAATTTGAAAGCTGTTTTCAGATGAGCTTCATGACCTATTTGAAAGTATTTGCTTGACATTAGAAAAGCATAATTTCTAATCTTATGCATTTCCTTGAAGCTATGGTTCTGATTTTAAAGCCATTTTTCATATTTTATTCTACTCACGATTGTTTGTTTACATATGTATGTCAAGTATTACCCATGTGATTTGAGTGGAGTGATAAGACTGACTGTTTCGGTAAAGACAAAGTAGTCTGTATGATAAGTTTTTTCTACTCTTGTTTTCAGAATAGTACTCGAAGTTATATTTGGAATGTAATGTTATTGAATCGTACACTCTTCACAAACCTACCATATATGAACTAATGTGGACTTGATGAGCTCTTGATACGTTTCTTACTGGTACTGTGATATTTAGTAGGCTCATCTATTCTCCTCTTTTTACTGAGATTCTTTTATTTATCCCTTACCTAGATCACTATGCAATAAAGAAAGATAAATGTACAGGTCTATATATTATGATTCATAATTATAGTATATTGCTAAGTATTATCAAGTATTCTTATGATAATTCGCACTAAACTGAATTTCACCCATTGACATATATAAGTTATCTCCAACAGTAAGTGAATAGAACCAGATACTCTAAACTCGATTTTACTAAACCGCACAAATTGAAGACTTTATGTAATTCATCGAGTCACTGTATTCTGATTAGAACTATCTTAAAAATTACCATCTCTAATCTACTAGAACTTAGAAACGACAATCTTAGTATTTCAGACACGAGATCAGAGTTATTGATCAAATATATTCATTAAGATTATGCGCGGTACAATAACTCCAAGGTTACATACTCTTACCATGACCCGAAGGACCGGTCGTTGGCACAAAAATATATTGAATCTTTTGAAATGGTGAAAGGTTTCAAATAAAAATTAAGAAGAGATAGACTGTGTTTTTTAATTTCTACTTAGTATTCCGCTTATTTTTTTTATTTTATTAAGACTTTCTCCTAAAACTTTATCGTTGAGGCCAAGATGAAAAAAGAAATGATAGAATTTATGTATTCTTAACTCAGGAATTTTATGAGAATGCTAATTAGATTTGTGAAATAACTAAACCTTAATTATAATTCAAGCCCAACGCGTAGCACCAGAAATTCTTTTCTACTATTTTAAACTAAATAACAACAAACAAAATACATCTCTGTATCAAGTTATTTACACTTTTGTCCAGATTTCAAACTGATCTATTGGACTATGTTACTACTGATATTTGGATTCTATAACATAGATTAATATTTTATGATCAGTTAATGATAATGTCTTGGTTCTAATAGAAGGTCAGTCACGGTTAAAAAAAATAATAAATCTCTGTCTATAGCATTAGGTGATACAATTTTAAATCCTGAAGAGTACATCATTTCTACCAAGTATACCGACTACATTTTGTTAACGAGTACCAACTAACAATAAACCCAAGTTTAGTTCTTTTCATCAACTATTACCAATTAATATCACAAGGGATTTTGTGGATATGATAGTAATTTCAATAGTTAAAATCATGAGTCAGTTGAAGCTAGACCACCATGGAAAACCTAGAAGCACTGGACAGCCGTTTCATCCCATTGTGGTCTAGTGTTTAAGTGCTCGCGCGCAAACCAGTAGGTCCTGGGTTCGAATCTCACAGGATGCGGGATAGTGGATGCGCACTGCTGAGGAGTCCTACGATAAGACGAAACGGCCGTCCAGTGCTCCCAGATTTTCCATGGTGGTCTAGCTTCAATTGACTCATGATTTCAATCTGTAGTATTACCAATTACTTAAACTCTAATTATAATATTCATTTTAATCCATTACCTTAGATTTCAATCAATTATATTGTAACCTATATCTTTGAATAAATATTGTTCCTTATTTTAAATTCAAATATAGTTCTAAATAAATAAATAAACCTGAGCTAATCGATAAACAGAAACTGATTTTATCGATAAAACACAATTGACCAGTATATATAATATGACCTGGTATATCAGTTTTAACAATCAATTAAACAAAACAATGGAATATACACCAAGAAATATTAAGTTTTATTGTTTGTTTTTTCTATACTTATGAGCGAAAAGAAATAATAATATCAAACAATAGATGAACAACATATACTTTATAGTTGACTTAAACCTGTACAATTCAATCGATTGATCAGAGTTGTTTCATTATTCTATTACGAATATTAACAATACTAATCATTAATTAATTGATTTATTATTATCCATTAAATTGGAGGTAATTTGTGATTGTATACTTTCTGAAGTATGATTAATTGTAGGAGAGAGAGAGAGAGAAAGAGAGCAAGAGAGAGAGAGACATAATGTACAGAATGAGTTATTAGTACAATGTCCCAAATTATGTTATCTATCAATATACAAGATAATTATACTCAAAATAAAAATGCGTGATATCATTGATAATATTCTCTATTATTATTCAGTTGAATAAAAGTGTCAACAGTTATTATTGTTATTATGATTGAATTATTTAGTGCAAATAATTGGTAATATTAATAAATGACACTATGTATCATATGCTCAAAATTAGTTATTAATCATTTATCTCAGTATTATTTCCAATTAACTTATGAATTTTAACGGTATGTATCAGAAGGGGTTTTGTGGAGATTGTAGTAATTTCAACAGTTGGTACCATGATTCAATTGAAGCTAGACCACCATGAAAAACCTGGAAGCACTCGATGGCCGCTTCGTCATATTGTGGGGCTCCTTAGCTATGCGCATCCATGACCCAACCTCGCGGGATCCCAACTCAGGACCTTAGATGGTGGTTGGAGTTTGTCAACAGGAAACCCTGGACCCGGGTTTCGTGCTACTTGGCACTCGTCACCAAGGTGTACCTGTAATCTTGAGGGAACTGGTGCTCCCTGGCGGATTCGACCTCGTGTCACACAGCTTCACAGTCAGAGACGTTACCACTGAGCTATTGATTGATCACCACCCAGTGATCAATCAATTGTGATTACATCTCAGTCCTACAGGAGGTTAGTCACGGCTCGGATAGCTCAGTGGTAACGTCTCTGACTGTGAAGCTGGGTGACACGAGGTCGAATCCGCCAGGCAGCACCAGTTCCCTCAAGATTACAGGTACACCTTGGTGACGAGTGCCAAGTAGCACGAAACCCGGGTCCAGGGTTTCCTGTTGACTACCTCCAACCACCATCTAAATCTCAATATATAGTGCCCGCAGTGTCGAGTCACCTAAACTGGTGGCCACATTGCAACATGATCGATAGCATTCGGTCTGCACTAATAAGGACTAGACAAGCATGAGATTGATCACCACCCAGTGATCAATCATTTGTGACAACTCAGGACCTATCGGTCTCGCACCAGGCGCTTAACCAACTAGACCACTGAGCCATTATCCAATGGTGTTAATGTCTAATTTTTACTAATTTCCATTGGCCATCAGCTGGAGATTATCAACAACAACCTACTATGGGAGAGAACAAATCAACTTTCTGCTAAAGAGGAAATTAGGAAAAGACGTTGAAAGTGAATAGGACATATATTACGGAAATCATCAAACTGCATCACGAAGCGCGCACTAACTTGGAATCGTGAGGGAAAACAAAAAAGCGGAAGACCAAAGAACATACTGCATCGGGAATCGGAATCAGACATGACAAGGATGAGTAGCAACTGTGAAGAAATGGAAAGGATTGTTTAGGATGGAGTTGGATGAAGAATGTTGGTGAACGGCCTATGATACTCTACGAGGGGTAACTTGCGTAAGTGAGTAAATTTCCGTAGGATACATTTTGAATGAAATTTATTCAGACAATAGAAAATTTGATAGTTAATAGTGAAAATCTTTGTTACTTAAGTAAAATATAATGTATCGATTGATTTATACAGATCGATTTTTGATACTTATGATATAACTCTGAGCTGCTTACTCCTGTGCAAAATTAATCATTGAATGTGTAATATATACCTTAAGCTTAAATGATTAAATAAATCGTCTATCAAAGTTACTTATTAACATGATATAACTACGAGTTCTTTGTTTTATTATTTTCTTTACAAAAGTAAACATTCTTCTTACAATTTTATATTTACTTACCTGATGATAATCAGCAGCATTCCTAATGTGTACTTGACTTAATCGGGCCAATTGAGAAACATATGTCCAACAACTTTTCACATTACTAGTTAATTCCTGTTTAATTTATGTGAAGAAAAAAAATCAACGGAAAATTTAGTCAATGAATTGAATTTGTCAAATTAATTTAAAGGTTGAACAATGATGAGTATGAAATAATCAGACATAAATGGCAGTGAAATATGGTAGACCAATATCGCGAATTGATCGATGTTAGAAATATCAATTATTGGATTGTGATTTAACGGTTTAAATGTGTCCTGATGGGGATGAATAATATTGGGCAATTTCATACAGAGAAAGAGCATTTATCCAGTATCTCTTGGATTTAGATGGTTGTGGAGCTACAACCAGTCCGTAATGTAAATTTTGAAACTCAACAATCTTCATAAACCTTTCATGATAACTCCAGCAGATTATATTAAAGTATATATGCATGATTTCATCCTTTGACTTTTAATCCGCGTATGTCATTGATCTAATTCAAGAATAAATTCACATTCCACATACCAATTCAGTCGCATACAGCTTACGGCCTGGAATGTATATATCCAGTTGTCTAAATAGCCATACTTAACGCACAAAAACTAAGTCAAAATCAGAGGAACTGAAAAGGATTTGTAATTATATGAATGATTGTAAAGAATTAAACCTACGAAATGTAGACCGGAAAGAGAAAAATTACGAAAATTCGATACCTAGAAGGCTATAGAGACTGCGTACATCAATATCATTTAAACAGATCAGTCAACCATAGATGATAATTATCTCACTGATAACGAACAGAAACTTTATACTTTTCTTTATGGGTCAAATAAATACTGATTTCATGAACTAATGCTGAACCAGTGACTTCCTCCAACGATCAAAATAGTGTATATGATATAGAGTTATCTAGACTAATGGTTATATTATAACTTGATCGATAGAATTCAGCCACCATTAGAGGATTAGACGAAAATAGTACTGATCAGTACTAAATCAATAAGCTAATACCATTTATCGGTTTGAGTATCCAGAGCCTTCTTACATGTATTCTAGCCAGTGTTGGACAGTCCATGGGTTTGAGTAACTCAATAACCCTACTTCGTGAATGTTTACAGCAAATAATTACATATATATAATTATTTTGACCAAAAAATGCTCATGATTAGCTTCAAAACTACTCAGTCACTGATTGCATCATACACGAGTAATGCTTTCAAAACTTATATTATCAAGTACTTTCAGCCTATGCATATCATCCAACTTAAAGGCAATGTTTCACGGCTATAAACCAATCCCGATAGAACATATGGATAATATACTTGCCTTTTAATAGACGAACAAACATCTCTCCTGTATAATCAATTCAGATGATCTTAAACAACAGTGTCTTTGCTATCAATTAATGATTTTATATGAAATATCCTTTGGTTATAACGAAAATATGAAACAGTTATGATTAACTGAATACTAAGCGTTCACTATTAAAATTAACGATGGTTGTCGTAATACAATGTTACTTCCGCCATTAAAACCAGTTCTACTGTTTCATGACATAGGAGAATCTTGATTTGTATTACAATATAAACCTTGTGTATTTTCCCTCTAAAACAGGAAGTGTCTGGTAAAACGTGATTTAGATTAACAAAATGCCTAATCAATTATTTACACTTTGTTTTGTTATTCAGTATAGATACGCATATTATGACGCACTTTAAAACGTATTTCTACAAGTAACATTTTTATTGTTTATGCCTGTAATTAATTGTAAAGAAAATGTAAATGATTTACACTCCCACCCCCCCTTAATTGAAATGAATAGCAGTGAGTTTTTTGCTGCTCATTTTTCTCATTGGTTTTCTCATTGGTTTCATTGCAGGCAAATCCCTAAATAGAATGAAACATGTGTTTTGGATTCCGCTACAAGCTACTATCCAATTTTTTATGGATATGGATGTATTTCAATATCGAAGCTCAGTATGAACATATACGATGAAGCGGTTGATCAGCTGAAGTCCTTAGCATTAACAGTAGTAAAACAAAGGTTTCTCATATATAATGAATTAATAAAAGCGAGTACTACAGAAATAATTAACTAAGATTAGCCTATTGTTCTACCACCTAAAGTTTAATATTCAACTTAGAAAAGAGTTTTACAATAAAGAATTATTGGTAGATTCTGTTCCGTAAGTTTAAAGATTATTTAATAATTTTTCTCAAAGTAAATAAATGAAGTTCATTAATTCAACTTCGTACTATCAAATGTAAATAGAATTTTAATTCAGTTTAATGGTTTTAGTATTGCATAGATACATATGAGAACGTCAATTAATGAAGTGAAACATTTTGAACAAATGAATTTACATGATTTTATTAAAAATTTGCAACCATTTAAATGTTCAGTATAAAAAGTTTTTGAAGATCATTCAACCATGTAGTCTATATTGTGGGATGACTAGTGAAAATCAAGAATCACTGGATAAAAATTTCGTCCTATTATTAACCTACTTAACAGTGTACATCCATAACCCTACCAGTGAAGGTTAAGTTTAGGACTTTCAGTTCTCTTAAGGAGCCTTTAGATTTTAGGTTATCGAGTTGGTAACCAACTGTTTATATTTTAAACTTTAAACAATCTGCAATATTCCCCAGACATTATTCAATGTCATTGGTGTCTAACTACCTCATATCCGACGTGACTGAACTCCATTGGTTACAACTTCTCATTTGAACTCTGAGAATCATCTCTTAAAATTAGTCATCAGTGAGTACATAATTTAAATTTCAATCTCAACCTTGAACAAACTATTTCAATTTCGACATTTGGATTATGTCATCAAATCTCTTACTCCTATAGTGTCATTCAAATCCAAGTACATATATTTGTACTTGATAACTAGATTTGAATTATTGATTGAAATTATAATGATGTAAATTATAGTTTACCTTTTTATTATTACATAATTTATCAAATTAAGTTCAAGTGTTAAACTTATTCATTATTAGTACTTAAACGCTATTCTGACAAGTACACAATTATATCATTATACTAATTATTAATATCAGAATAAAGTTAACATTTTAAACAAATAATGATTAATTTTTCATGAACCTTTTCTTCTAGAAATATAGTCAAGATTATAATACTGACATTATTTTCAGAAATCATTTAAAGCTATGTGACTTTCCAGCTGAATAGGAAATTAGGAAAAGACGATGAAAATGAATAAGACATACATTACGCAAATCATCAAATTGTATCTTGAGGCAAGCCCTAACTTGGAATCTTGAATGGAAGCGGAAAAGAGAAAGGCCAAAGAACATATTAAGTCGGTAAATAGAAGCAGATATGGAAAGGATGAATAACAACTGAAGAGAGTTGGAGAGGATTGCCCAGGACAGAGTTGCGTGGAGAATACTGGTGAGCGGCCTATGCTCCTTCACGAGGAGTAACAGGCATAAGTAAGTAAGTAAGTAACACTTGCCAAAAACTACTTTTATTATAGTAATAGTAGTGATGGTATACACAATAAATTAACTACATGAACTTTATCTTTTACTTAGATTAGATTTTGTTTAAAATAAAAAGTAAGATCAATAAAGAATATTTCATTGTCATGTTAACTAATTGGTTTTTTCCCCATTTAAAGGGAAAAAAGGGGGAAAGGGAAAAAAAAGGAAAACTAACCTTTTTCACATGAACTTCATCTTTTAATTCTTTAGGGGCACTTAATTGTACAGAGGTTTCAGTGACATTTTCTGTTAGAACCTAAATAAAAATTATCGATTAAATGATGATATTTATTTATAACTTACTGTAAATGAATTCTCCAATTGAGATATTGTTTCTAAATAACGTAATGCTGATGTATTATTTTTCACATCATCCTTGAAATATTAAAAAAAGAAATATAAAAAAACGTTATTATCAAGAGATAAGAACAAAATATATGGCTTAGTGATTAATTGAATTTCAACAACTATTTTATTTTAATATCAGATGGGTTTTGTGGATATTATAGTAATTTCAATGGTTAAGATCATGAATCAATTGAAGCTAGATCACCATGGAAACCACGGAAGCATTGGACGGCCGTTTCGTCCTATTGTGGAAGCGAGGTCGTGGCTGCGCACTGTTGTGGAGTCCCATAATAGAACGAAACGGCCGTCCAGTGCTTCCAGGTTTTCCATGGTGGTTTAGCTTCAACTGACTCATGATCTTAACCATTGAATTTATTTTAAACAATAAATATATTTTAAACAGAGATAGATGGTGGTTAGCAGTAGAATCCAAGATGCATATTATGTCGTATTTGAGACTCGTCAGCTGGATGTACCTGCATCCTAGAGTTGATTTTCACTTCATGACTCGAGTCAAGTTTTTTTCTCTTCAAATGACATCAAGTTATTCACTTAGCTACTGAGTTCAGATAGCCATTAACTTATGCAATAAATATATTTTATCAGTTATGATAATGACCAAGGTTATTTTCTACAAGTGCGGCTCTTATAGCTGAAGAACATATGGAAACTTAAAAAACGGTCAGTCAATATCACAGTCAGAATCTTAAGTACAAACTTCAGAGCAGTTCTACTGCGGGGAGCTGAAACTTAGAGAACTATCACAAGCATCATCAAAATGGCACAATGATTTATAAACATTTGTCTACACAAAATACTTAATGTCTGTTGACCGGATATAATCAACAACAACCTACTATGGGAGAGAACAAATCAACTTTCTGCTAAAGAGGAAATTAGGAAAAGACGTTGAAAGTGAATAGGACATATATTACGGAAATCATCAAACTGCATCACGAAGCGCGCACTAACTTGGAATCGTGAGGGAAAACAAAAAAGCGGAAGACCAAAGAACATACTGCATCGGGAATCGGAATCAGACATGACAAGGATGAATAGCAACTGTGAAGAAATGGAAAGGATTGTTTAGGATGAAGTTGGATGAAGAATGTTGGTGAACGGCCTATGATACTCTACGAGGGGTAACTTGCGTAAGTAAGCAACAGTAGACTTCAGAATGTTTGTTTCGTGTTATTCGATACTGAACTAAACGTGACAGACATTAAGATTCAGGTGAGCACATCTAGTTAGTGAGACCCATATGTAAGATGATATATACGTTGTGGATTTCATTGCTAGTCGTTATTTGAAAAAAGATTAATCTTGTAATCACGGATAATATATTGATGTATCTGTCATACCAATGAGAAACTGATTGAATTCATTACTCAATCTCAACAGAGGACAAGCATAAATCATTGTGAACAAAAACATATTTCAATTTTTTGTGACAATCTGAGGTATGTAAACTTCATTTCACAGTAAACTCAGTATTTGTAATATTGGTTAATTTGCCTAATCAATATTATCTTCGTAAAAACATGTTCAAATTATCTTAAACTTTACAAAGATTAACATAAATATCAAGAAAAAACAGTGTAGTGCTTACACGAATTTCAGCTGCTGCATCAGGTAAATGTGATTTTTGTGCACTCTAAAAAAGTAATAATCAATTGAATGAATAGATTGGTTAATGAGGACAGTGACAGAAACAAAACTACATTTGAAAACAATTTACATTACGTAAGAATTTTAGTTAGGCAACCGTTGTAAAAACATATAGCATTGGACATCTATATCTTTCTAGTAAATGGCTTCTTATCAATGTACACATTATACGACCTCACAAGGAATTGAATCTTGGACATTCAAATAATTGAGATGACACTCAGTGATTAGTAAGGTTCTTATAATAGGACAATTTATCTGTCCAGTTATCTTTTTATTTTCCAATGCTTATACAGTTAGTATTATTCCCTAATCTGTTAATCTTTCATTAACATGAATAATCTTTATAAATGTTACTTTTTATTAACTTACAGATTGTTGAATATCTTTTTCTAGTTGTATAATTTTTTGTAATAGTTCAGCTTGTCTAACACGTTCACTGTCAAGGGCTAAATGATTTACACCTATGCATACACCACGAGCTTGACGCTAAGAAGAAGAAGATCAACAAAGAATGAATAAGAAACAAAATAAGTGATATATATATATATATATGTGTGTGTGTTGCGTGTTTAAGCATATTATTTTCATATATTTAAAATAAATTATAATATTTTATTATTTTTGAGTAGTGATTAATGATGGAATGTAAGACATAAGTTTCATCCTATTTGGGACTTATCAACCGGAGGTAACTGGCACTTCTCAGTGTTTATGTTTAAATTGAAACTTAAACCCATTATCTTTAGATTCAAACAAAAATACAAGTCTGTACAAATAAGATTATGATATGTTTTTATGTCAAATTTATAATGAAGTAACTAGGTATAATGTGAATTAACACAACTTCGATTATGCAATTTATTCTACTTACAACTAATTCCATATATATATATATATATATATATATATATATATATATATATATATATATATATATATATATATCTTCAGTTGAGCCACAGCAATCAAAACCTTTGACTTGATCTGATAAACTTTAATAGTAAGCTATCTCTTTGTCTTAATTGTTCTTCGATTTATAAAGTAGATGAATGTAGTCAAAATGAAGTGAGATGTACTTTAATAGACTATTTACATACTAATTTTAAAGTATCACAGATTATGGGTTTTTTCTACAAATAATTTTGTTACTCATCAGTGATGTAAATTGATAATACATAATCTAGTTCATAAGTATATCGGGTATTTTTTTTCCTCATGTTACTATTACAATCAATTCATTAACATCATTTGCCACATTCACTTGGTATTTTTTACTTGTATCTTCCCATTGTTGTTTATGACTGCAATTGATCAGTCTCTTGTTGGCATATATAAATCCTGTGCGGATTGACCCCGATATTGTACTAAGTCACAAGATTTATAAGTAAACGAGTCTCAAATAGGACGAATTCCACTGTTAGCCACTATCCATCTTTGCTTATAAACCATTTGCCACAGTTTAAATAGAAGAATAATTTCAGTAATTCTGTTTATTAACACTTGTGTTACTCCAAGAACAATTAAAAAATACCATAATAGTTTATTGCTACATTTTAATTGTTTAAATGAATTATTTTCTATTCCGAAAATGTGACACTATATTTAAACTTAGATTGAACATAATTAAGGAAGTATTCTATACATTGAATTCATTACAAATACATGATCCTGGATAAGGTATTTGTATATTTATATAATTACTATTTCAATTGTATTTCTACATTACAGTGAGTATGTCTTATTATTTAAGTTCTAAAAACTGAATACAACAAATTAAATTGCATTTTTCCATCAAATTTCAACTTATGTTATTACCATTAAATTTTTATATTAACTTTAATTAATCACTGCTGTAAGATTCATTTTGAATCTTTTGTGTATGAAAATCTCTCCATGTATACATTTGCAGTTTGAATTGAAGTACTCTTCCAGAATTGGAAACACTCTGTGTTATAAAGCAACCAAATATTATCTTTTGAACGAATCTGTGCGTGGTCTATCTAGAGAGGATAGATCAACATTTATTTGTTGTGATTGGTAATTTTCTCGCATCCTTTATCAACTTCCTTATTTATTGTAATTTAGATTTGATTAATTGAACAATTATTGGTTGGATAGCTAGGTGATCATATTTGTTTAGGCAACGATGTACATTTAAATTTATGATGAATATTAGAATCGTCATTTTAACCAATTACCTTATTTTGGTTTCAAACGGGCAAGGGAACATATCTATCCCACCTAGACAGCTATTCTTCAGTCCAGACCTTAGTTTGGATCTTACAACTGCATTATTTTATTGTTACTACAGTTATACAAAACATAATTGGTTAAACCTGATAGTTTAAAATAAATTGGGCATTGGTTAGAGCGTTTAATAATAAATATATTACTTTTTCTGATATCCCAATAAGTAGAATATTATAATTTTCACGTTTTGTCACTTAATGTAAGTCACTTCTTCAGAGTGGAGAACAAAAAAAGACGAAGAAGTAGGCTAAATTAACTGACGAAATGTTAGAAATATAACTTTTCTACTTACACTGAGATATCACAAGAAATATACTTGTTACTAACGATTGGTTAATGATTGGTAAATTAGATATAACATTACAAAAAACAAATAAGGTTAGCGTTTATGCTTACCTCGAATTCAGTCAAACGAGCTTGAAGACTTTCAGTAGCTACATGAATTTGGATAAATAAATAAAAATCATGAAAATACAATTCATTGAATAAAAACAATCTTCAAACAATGTTTTCACCGTTGCATAAAATACTATCGAATGGTTTCTTTGAGATTTTTCATTTTATCATGAAAGAGTTGTGGTATAAATTAATAATGTTAATCAATAGAATGAAATTCACAATATAAGCAAAGATGGATAGTGACTAGCAATGGAATCCAAGACGTGCGTTTCGACCTATTTGGGACTCATCAGCTGGTTATGTATAATCTGGATGAGGTTTTTTTCTCCTTTTTTCAGTTAACATAACTGTCATAAATCAATAATAACAAATGATTTGAAAACTCATTAAGCAACCAAAAATCTAATGTAAAACAGTTTCCTTTGTTGTTATGAGTTTCCTAGTTGTTTCAAATCTATATATACATATATTTACTCCTCGACTTAAATTAATAGTTTCCTTTCATTTATCTGCCTATGTTTCTTCTATGTAATAACATTGATCAATACATATGTAAACAAATATACATGTCCACCATTCATTATCTAAGTGATAAAATCCCATTGTTTAATTTGTGATAATAATTACTATAGGAAGAAAAGTGATTTTGTAAATGATAAATTTCCTAAAGATCAATTAATGAGCTTTTATTCAACATGTTGAGTAGTTTCCTTCGAGACCTACTGCCTCACACTGTTAAAACGATTATCAAACAATTTCATCGATTCAAATATTAATGTGTAACTGATAAGTTTCAATAAGTAGTACATCCAGAACCATATATATATATATATATATATATATATATATTCATACTATATGTGTATTTCAGCGAGTTTCATACATTAAAATACCTCGTCAACAAGCATCAAACTCACCAGTGAACGAATTGACACAGAATTGATCATTGAACAAAAAAGGTCATTATTTTGCTACGGCGAGACCATAATTTATGGACCAACCCATCAATTATAAGATATCGAGTAATAATTATAGCGCGAAATTCATTCATCCATTTGGCTTAATAGAGTTTTGGCATTATAGCTGATGTCAGTTCGTGACGAAAACCCTTAATCTAATTTTTAACCTTAAACATCAACCGTAAATCATAATTCTAACTGGTTTATAGCTCTCATTTTGTCCTAATTAGTAGGTATCCGTTCTCAAGGTGACTTTAGCGTCGCTCAAAGGTCGTCCATATATTATAGTCTCACCTTTGCTAATTACACATTTAAAAAGTCTTTAACGTCTAGTTTATATTTCTTTGATTTCCGAAATGTATTTATTTAACGCTTTATGCAAAATCATTATTCACCGGTAATAAAAATACTACTGATGATAATAGTAAATAATAGTAGTAATATTAGTAGTAAAAGACGAATAACTGAAAGAAACTCATCACAAATCACGTGAACATTGTTTTTCTTATATGAGAAAATTTCGTTATGTGATCAATAGTTTTATATTTGTCTTAAAATATAAATAACGATTCTAATATATGCCGTATGAATAAAATTTACTACATAATCTTGAGTTGACTCACAGTACGTGTGATCTCAAACTCAAATAACAACTAAGTGTTTACTCATAGATTTATTTTAAATGACTAATGATATGGGTTACGGTTCGATGTTTTAATGTATTCAGTAAAATATACACTTTTAGTGAATTCATGATTGATTCAATGAATAACATTGTATCTAGGGCAATTTTACCCATAACCATTATATTGTAATCTATCAAGTTAATCATAGATCTATGCAAAATTACATCTATACAAGATTATGAATTGTCCAATAATAAAACAACTATTCTATATTCTTGTAATTTAAACAAACATTTATTAGTTCTGTTATGTTCCCTTTTCTCTGAACATTCCTTCACAATTCTTTTCAATAATTTACATTATCTTAAATTTTCGATTTAAAGTTTTACAAAAAAAACAACAATCTATTTAATACATTGAAAACTAAATCATGTTCAATAGAGAAACATGGCTTCATTTAATAAAAGTAAACTGATTCTCTTAACTTACCCATTTATTTCCAAGTATATTATTAGTTAACTATTGAATATTGAACAGAGGAATGATTCAAACGACAAAGAAAAATAAAAAAAACTGGAGCGTAATTCTAACTAGATTGATTGATTGATTGATTGATTGATTGATTGTAGCGTATACGAATATTATTGTCGAAGTTGATGTATAGTATCAGCGTAACAAACAGTAATCCCAGGACGAGAATTAGTTATAGTCTTGTATCAATAAATATGTATAATAATTGAATAAAAGAAAGAGGTAAGAAACAAACAAACACACACAAAGACAAAAACTAGATGTAAATCAATATTTTCTAATTTATATGTAAATACTATTACAATGCTGATTGTTGGATATTGTCATTCGAATAAGATTAAATTGTAAATAGTTGATATTTATCATAGTCTCTCTTATTGTTTCCTTCCTTTGTTAACCAATATTGAATGGATGAAATTTGTTTTCTTCTTAAAGAAGAAATAAAAACACGAAATAATGATCGGTACAAATATGTAAAAGAAGAAAATCAAAGGAAGACAGAACAAATGGTTAACATGTAAGAGGGACTTTTAAAAATATGTACTTTGAAAAAGAAAACACGAATATTTCTAGTAGAAAGATATCTACTAGAATTCAATGTTGTATATGTAGTAAATATTCCGACAGTAGACAATTAACCACTGGAAGACGGTCACATATACACACAGGCAGTTTTAGAATAGAAAAGATGTAATTATTGAATTAGTAGATGAGTTGAATGAAAATCGCAGAGATTGTCAACTTGATAAAGAATAATAATGATAATATTATTATTATATTTCCGAACTCGATCGAATCGAAAATTGGAATGATGTTTATGAAAAGTGATAATAATAGTAATAACAATTATAATAATAATAATAATATTCACTTCTCCTTCCTAGTTAATCTCTGCTAACCGCCATTTGAATGTATTTGCTACACAATGAGTAAACACCATCAAAGTTCTGATTTAAATTGTATATTATTATGCCTTTTTATAAAAAAATCAGTCTAATTGTATATTGAATAGTTGGATTGTGCTATTTAATTTAGTGATCCATTGAAGGAATGTGTCTGTGCATAAAAATCCACAAATCGCATCAATACAAAGCTTCTGTTTGTATTGTCGATTGAAAGAGTGAGTGAGAGAATGAGAGAGAGTACACACGTGTATATTTATGTACTCTCACCAAAATATATTATTCATATAAACATAGATACACACATACTTTCATTTATTTTACCACTCACACAATACCCGTCAAATAAGAAAAATAGCTTAGTCTTATAAAGTATAGGGTAAATGTACATTAGACTTAACTAAAATGAGTGCATAGTCCAAATTTTAAATTATTTGCGTAGGCGATCTATACAATATAATATAAAAAGTTGAACTTCAATAATTCGTCTTCTCTATCTCTTATTCTCATATTATTCACTTCACATTTTTTTTGTCAGTTTGTTATGGTATTTCTATTCATCATATAAATAATTTGTAACTGACATTAAATACTGTCTCAAATCGATCTAGTTGCTTACTAAAAAGCTATAGTGTATATATATCTATATATGCGAACTATACTGGATATTGAATGACGTAAACACTATGATAGGAAGGTGTACACAACACAAACAAATTACATCAAATAAACTTAAAATTTGATACTCATTAAATAAGTATAAGATTCGTGAATTGGATTGTAGAGAGCACGAAATAGAGAAAGAGAGAGAGAGAGAGACAGAATTGTGCACAAAGCCTATGAATATAAATTCACACTAAATGGTATATATATGTACAATTGCATACATACATAAATGCATAAAATAAGGAAAGACAATATGTTTATTGAAATAAAAGAAATACATATCATTCACATATTTTATACAATATATATATACATATATAATGCAAACATCTCAATGAAACTGGTGTATGTGTACATCTGTGCCAAATCGATTCACCTTATCCTATCATTTATATCCGATCATATTTACTCTAAAATAATGTTAAAAATTACCATTACATTATATATAAGATTAGAATAATAGAAAAGTCTTTCGAGTATTCTACATACATGGCACAAGTCCATGAAATCACTGACAAGTGAACTGAGTCATATTGGTAGGTGTAGATTACCTGGTTGGGGACTGCGAGATGATAGCAACCGATGGTTAAAGACCCTGTATGACATGGCTCAAAATCGTTTGCAATGGCGCAGGTGCATCCACTCTCTGTGTTCTCCCAAATTCTAATCTTCTGAATCCTTCATGTCCCTTTTTTTTTTCTTCCCAAATTTATTTCACTGGATTATACTCTTTAAATAACATCTCCAAACCCTAATCTTCCCGATTACTGCTTATACTCTTGCTACCTCTACCACTACGGGATTTGAATCGACCACTGCCTCTCTGCGCTAATGTGGTGTGGCAACTCGAACTGATGTACGTACGTACGAAGTTCTGCGTTGTTACTGACTGACTGAGATACATTTTACCTATAAATATGAAATTATTACCAACTTTATCAATGTTAGTATTAATAAGTTTTATAATCTAATTTTATCTATTATAAGCAAAGATGGAAAGTGGCTAACAGTGTAAGCGAATGGTACTGGGTTCGAGTCTCAGAGTGAATATCAACACTAAGATGCAGGTACATCCATTTTACGAGTCCTAAATAGGGCGAAACGTGCGTCCTGGATTCCAATGTTAGCCACTATCCATCATTGTTTATAATGGTTGTGAATTAAGACAATATCGAGGCAATACACACAATATGCGCATATTTCAGTAAGTGACTGGTCAATTGCGGTCCTAATCATTAATGGGAGGATTCAAATAAAACAATAACAAGTGACCTAAGTTTATGTAGTTTTTTTCTATCAAACAGTGACCAATGTATGTGAAATTTTGATGTTGAAAAAGCAGTAGTAAGTTTTTAAAAACCACAAATATGTATGTTTAGTCAGTTTTCCAGTAATGATAAATGTGTTCAGTTAAGGTAAGAAGGTAAATCAATAGTGGATGCGCACTTCTGAAGAGTCTCGCAATAGGACGAAACGGCTGTACAGTGCTTCCAAGTTTTCTATGGTGGTCTAGCTTCAATGATCTCAAGTACTAAAATAAATAAAAGTTACTACTGTACTCATTACAATTATTCTACAACTTTTTCTCAGAACTAAATCTATGAAATTAATAAATAAGTATTACATGAACTGTTCAGTTAGTACATAAATTAGTACTAAATTAGAGGAAATTATTTGTGAATATCCTTTGAATTTGCCAACATCTAAAAAACATGTGAGAAGAAAACAACTAGATAGCTGAAACCTTTTAATTCCTGAAGACTTTGAGAAATATTTGAATAATGGAAAAAAAGATAAGATTTTAGTGAACGATAAAACAAGTGGGGACAGTCGAATGTAAATGAACACAAAATTACAGAATCTCTTAGTAAAATCTGTGAATCATATAGTAAATTCTTCATTTACAAAATGTTCATCAATTGTCTTTTGTAAATATGAGTCAATCGTCTCACAATTCATTGTTCTTTCGTTCCGACACCAATCATTATTTGTTCTCGTTTCCTTTTCTTCTATCTTCTTAACCTTCTGCCTCCAGACATTTCACTTTTGATTGATGATACATACTACTTATATCTATAGACATCAGTAGCACACACCATAAGATAAGTTTCCTTACATACAAATAAGAGTATGATTAAAACACTGAGATTGATGTGTATCCAAAATTTGTAAAATACAGTTTTAATGATATTATTTCGGAATATTTATCGAATATGCTGCATAAAATTTCCAGTAAAAGTATATTTTGGGAACGGGCTTAAAATGACCACGATGAATTTCCAACCAATCAAAAACCGGTTTTTATAAATGGATGATTTATAAAAAAGGAATCAATAATGTTGCAAGGTGTGGACTGATTTCTATGTAATTAATAAATCTAATAATATCTTCGACAGGTTCCTCAGTCAGTAAATTGAAACAAAAACTAAACAGAAACTCTCCTTTACGGATATAGAACATCCAGCTTTTCTAATATTTATAAGAACTTAAATCAATCTTGAAGTGTCCTTATATTGTTCCTAACAAGGGTTAAGTATTTAGACTAAAAAGTAAGTGTTTTGGGTTGAAGTATTAATCACGAATTGACATCGACTATGATGTAAAAATACTCTATGGATGAATGGATTTCGTTCGGAAACACACGAGACACTATCTGTTTGGTTCGTTCATAAAATATGGTTTCATCAGGTTAATTTTTTTTTCAGAATTAAGAATTTAGGTTACAGATTTAGGAACCTAGACAATTTACCAGTTATATGCAATCTAGGGAGACAGGGTTAGGTGTTTCATACGTTGGACACTATCATTTTTACTGTGTAATGACAAAATGTAAATTTCTACTATTATTTTAAAAGTTTTGAACAGTATGCGAAGGTATACTGCTCGTCGTATATGTTATTTGAATTTCCTGCAAAAACCTAATAATTGCGTTCTTGATTCTGGTCGTTTTGTCCTTAAAGTACACTTTTAGCAGACCTTGTTCTATCACACTTAATTCATTAAAAATCACTGGTAAATAGTTCGCACATACTTATCACAATCATGAAAAATAAAACCTCAATGTTCCAAAACATTTTTGTTGTGACCTGCAGAAACTGATAAATATTCTTGACCGAAAGGTTTCATTTTACAGCATATATATGCCCTAATTTAAATAACTCAAGTTTACTTCTACCTGAAGTTTGTACTGATGATATCGTTCACAAGAACAATGAAAGCTCCATGACCAAACCATCCAAATTAGAGAACAAAACTCCACCTGATTTACACATCTTCCACACCATCTCAAAAGACTAGGAAATTACGATATTAGTTACTATTTTAGGATCAATCTATGTACACACAAATTTAATCTATTTAAACGGTAAAATAATAAAAGAGATCAATGATAATA